GATTCAAGCAAAAGCACTTCGGGGTATGTGTACACTATTGGTGGTACGACCATTAGTTGGATGAGCAAGCTCCAAAAGTGTGTCTCTATGTCTACGACGGAAGCCAAGTATGTGGCTATGTCGGAAGCGGGAAAAGAGATGGAATGGTTGAAGGGTTTTCTTGAAGAAATGAGCATGAAACAAGATGTTTGTGCGTTGTATAGTGATAGCCAAAGTGCGGTTCAATTGGCTAAGAATACTATGTTTCATTATCGCACTAAACACATCAAGAGACGCTATCACTACACTAGGAGTTTGGTGAAGGATGGCACGATGTGTTTGAGGAAGATTGCCGGTTCAAAGAATCCGGCGAATATGCTCACTAAGGTGGTTTCTAGTGACAAATTGAGGTTGTGTAGGACCTCAATTGGACTCCATCATTAACTTGATGGAGTGTTGCGCTATGGTGAAAAATTGTTTTGATGAATGTGTTGAGTGCTCTTGAGGAAGGAGTGTATATATGGATGTCTATGGTGTATGCATTATTGATCCTATCTCCAAGTGGGAGATTGTTAGGATTAGTGTGGAGATGCATCAATATATGGAGGCATAAGGAAGAATTAAAGGGGAAGTTTTTTGAAGGAAGTTCGACCGAACATAGTTCAAGCAACTCTGAGGTTCGGTCGAACCTTGAGGCAGAGAGTTGAGAAAAAATTGCAAATTTGGAGGAGTGACCGAACCAAAGGGGGTTCGACCGAACCACCTCAAGTTCGGCCGAACAGAGGGTAGGTTCGGCTGAACCCCCTGTTGTTCTGTTTCGACGGCTCGATTTCAGCCCGTGCTTCTTGTTTAATTATTAGCCCTTGGATTGTCGTTTATTACCTAGACTATATATATTCTTTGTTTTGCTTCTTCTCTAATAAAAAAAATTTCACAAAACTTTAAACACTAAGAGAGGGTTTATGAGAGGTTTTGTGAGGAGCATTGGAATTCCATACAATTCATGCTTGTAATCTTGATTCATTCATCATCAATACTACTCCATAGTGCAAGGTGGGTTTTTTTCCCGGTTCTCGGGTTTTCCCACGGTAACTTTGTCTCTCTTTTATATGCTTTGATTTCTTCATGGTTGCTCTTAGTTATTGTGCTTGCATGTTCTTCATTCTTGTGGGTTGATTGCAATTAGTTTGAGCCCTTAATCCTTTCAAATTTTTCATTGACTTATTTAACATCATGATCATGTGTACCCTAAATTGCAAGTTCAAAACTTTAATATCAAATGTTACCTCAATACTAGGGGTTTGGTTTAATTTGAAAGGAATTTGTAAAATGGGCATAGGAATTCGAACAATTTCCTATACGAGTACTATTTTATTTGATCTTGGTTCATGCAACTGACCCCATTATGTTTAGATTAAGGCTTTGGGTATTGTATACCTCCGTTACATATTATGTGCATTTTGATTAATTGATTTGCATTGTTTCATCACCAGAAACTTCCTAAGAAATTTACTGCAAATGAGATTGCAAGGTTACCGGAGAATGTAATTGTGAAAGGTCCAAATGGAATTATCTGGCATGTCAATTTACTGAGTAATGACAGCAATATTGTTATGTTAACTGGTGATGTTTGGAAAGAGTTTGTCAAAGCTTACTCCTTGCAAAAGAATGACCTTCTTATCTTCAAGTATGACAGAAATGACAAATCTTTTGAGGTGTTGTTCTTTGATCAAACTAATTCGTGTGAGCGAGAATCATCTTATTTTGTGAGAAAATGTGAACAACCTCAATCTAATAGTGGTTCGGATGAACAAGCAAAGAGTGATTCGTTTGAGTATATCATTTGTTCTTCTGACAGCACCGCTCACACAGGTTGTATGCTTGAACTCTAGTTCGTTAATTGATTTTTTTTAGTACTTCCTCCGTCCCAAAACACTTTTGTTTCTGTAATGTATCCAAAAGAGCTTCATTCTTTCTTTCTCTTTTACTTTTAACAACTATTCTTAATGTCCATGCCAATCCCAAATGTCAAAACTGTCAAGTTGAATTTAATTATGGGACGAAAAGGTTATTAATCTATATTACTAGAGTATGGTTAGCATACTGATATTTATGCGTTTGAAACAGATCGTGATCTTGATGAAGAACAGGATGAAGATGAACCTGGGGAATCAAACAAAGACAGATCTACTTCAAAACAGCAGAATTCTGAGAAAGATAATGAAAGTTCTCCAAAGGAAGTCCCATCTAATTGTTTGAAGAAAAGGAAGTCCATTGGTATGATTCTGAAAAGGTCTAAATTTATTTCTTTATCTATTTAAGAGTGATCTTTTCATAATACTGAGGAGGATGTTGACTCAGTGTGATAAGTGTATATGAAACAAAAAGGGTTATTTTTGTGATGAGTTTTATCTAATCAAGTGATCAGAGAAACTAAAGGAGTGTTATTATATTATAAACCTTATAAAAAAAAACAAAATGGCTGATCTTGTGCTAATATGTTTTTGCATTTTGTTTAATGATTCGATAATGATGAAAGGGATAAACGAAGGGCATTCATTGAAGATGATTCCATTTCAAAGGACAAATGTTCAAAAGTGAATGGCTATAGTTCAAAGAAGACTCACTCTCATTCTGCTGCTAGTGATAGCGATAAAGATGGATCAGATTACGTTCCACTCTTTGAGAACATGAAAAGGAAGAGCTCCACTGGTATGGCTTCAGTCGCTAGTTCATTTACTAGAACAGGAAGAGCATATTTGTTTATGTTGCAGTTGGGATCTTTTTTGCGTTTATGTTTGTTTTGCTTAACAAGAACTGTGTATTTATGCTGGGTGAAATTGAAGAGGAGTGAAAGAATAGAGAAAAGTTGACAATTCCGTGCTCAAAAGTCAAAAGTTTCAAAAGGCACAAGTGAGGTCCTGAAATTTTACTTTAGTGATCTGATTTTTGATGAATGAAGTTTGTTTAAAATCAAAACTGATTTCTTACCTTGGAGAGAAGACGAAACACTAAAAAACATCATGAGGTTGCAAAATTTTTGCTGATTTTTGTAAACTAAAGCTGAAATTTGCGGAATCACTAGTGTATGTCTTGTGCAGACAGACATACAGTCACTGATTATACTGATCTAACTGAATCGAGTTTTTCAAGATTGATTTTATTGATCAGTTAAAGAGCTATTTGGCCTTTGTACAGTAGGTACTAGGTGATTTCTTTTGGTTCTACATAGATTACCAAGTACTACTTGATAGAGTGCTATAATATGTTATCTTGTGCAGTTGTTGCCGCTGCAAGCTATAGATCAAACAGAAGGCCTGTAACGGATGCAGAAAAAGAAAAGGCTGTGGCGTTGGCAAGTGAAAATGCCATCGGTGAAAGCTTCATCATTGTGATGAGACCTTCTCATGTATACAAGCGTTTTTCACTGGTAAAATTGCTTCTTCTATGAACCCCTGCCCTTAAGATCATTGATCAAATTTTGCAGCTTTTCTTGCTCAACCAACTATTGTGGCACTTATGTTTAGGTCATTCCTTGAAGCTGGAATCCTAAAGGTTTTTCACGCGATAAAAGACAAGATGTGATTCTTAGAACCAATAACAATACATGGGTGGTTAGCTTCTGTACTTCCAACAACCATGGACATGGAGGATTTGAAGGTGGATGGAAAAAATTTGCACTCGACAATTTCTTGGAGGAATTCGACTTGTGTTTGTTCGTGCCTGGTGGCCAAGAGAACAAGCGTTTTGTTCTGGATGTCAGCATTTTTCGAGTTGTTCCTGAAATTACTCCAGTTAGCCCTGTACATAAGAAGAACCACTGAGCATGTAGTGTTGAATGAAATATAAAAGCACATTTGTGTATTGGTGAAATGTTGTCTGCCTTCTCTCCAATTAGCTTTCCAACCATTGTGGACATTTAAATATATTGCAGCTTATATAGCTTAATATTCTTATTAGAGGTCACAAACAAGTTTGGCTTGGATCAATGTTGTTTAGTTACTTGCCATTTGATCAAATATTATGTTTGTCAATCTTTCTAATAAGTAAATCTTGATTAGAGGTGACAAACAAGTTTGGCTTGGATCAATGGCAACAAAATTAAGTTTAGTTCAATAAATCTGAGTTTAGTTTAGTATAAACATATAGTTTAAGTTCACTTTAGTAAAAACAGTAATTTTATAGAAGAAATATAATATAGAAAAAGTAAAAATATATTTGTTTCGGCATAAATAATTTCAACTCAATTAAATTAATTTCAATCCAACAACATTAATTTTAGTTTAGTAAATATATTTTCATTTTAGCGAAAATGAGGTAGAGTGAATAGGATTATGAGAAGACGAAAAATTATCAAAGCAAAATGAATGATACACCGTAGCATTTCTTATTTCTCCTCAAATTTAATTGACCAAGAAACTTAGATTTACTTCAATTCTTATGTCTTGTGAAAAATTCACACTTTCACTAATTTTCCTTTTTGTTGGTCTTATAATGTTCACCAAACCACTATCCAATTTAAGAATCTTCATAATGTTAAACTTCACCATTTTATATTATTACTATATTTGTGTTTTAATAAGTCTTATACTCACCAAATACAGCAATGTTTCAACAAAAACTACACTTCCTTTTAATAAAAAAACAATCATATTTAAATATTGTATCTTTTCTGATCTCATCCAAACCCAATATTTTTTTTAATTATTTCTTTCTCTCACATACATTACTTTTCAATGTATTATTAACCTCATTATCTTTATTTAATAATTATTAAATACTTCAACTATTTCACTTAACTTTTATTTTATTCAAGTCAATTAAACTGCCTAAAAATATGTGTAGTTCAGGGTTCGTTCACTTCAATTTAATTTCAGTTCAGCTCCAATTAGTTCAGTTCATTTCAGTTCAGCTCCAATTAATTCAGTTCACTTCAACTTCTAATTTCCTTCTCCCATAAAATATTCATTTCAGCTCAGTTTAGTTCAATTGAACTCCTATCAGTTCAGTTTAATTCAGCTCAAATCAGTTCAGTTCAGTTCACTTTTATATTGTGAATAGACCCTCAAAGTATAACACCACGAAGGGAGTATCTATCTAAACAAGTAAATAGTCAAAACTTATTTTTTTTTTCTCATTTAACCTAAAAATAAAAATAAATAAATAAATAAATAAATAAAAAACCGTTTGCTTTCCAACATTGGTTACGTAACATTTATGGATAAGAGCTCCGATTTTAATAATCCGTACAATTTATTTCCTCCGTTTATATCACTTGCAAAGTTGCAAATTCTGTTTAATTTGATTATTTTTACGGTTTTACCCAAAAAGGAAAAAAAAAACATTCTTGATTTAATTAGGGTTTTATTTCCATCTAGATTTTGATTGGGAAGGTCAGCATTAACCTGAAGCAAATGGAGAATCCAGAGAAATGCAGCAGGAGGAGCTGGGAAGAAAATACTTATTGGAAACATTTTCACTCTGTTCACTTCTTTCAAATTCTTCCTTCTAATTTTCAACAACACCTTGTAAGTTTTTTTTTTTTTTTTTTTTTTTTTTTTTTTTTTTTTTTAATTTTTACTGTGCTTTTAATTTATATGGTTTTTACTTTATATTTGTTACTTGTATTAGTTGCATACTTGCATGTATGGGAGGATGTAGGGGATAACGATCCCTCTATATCCCCCCAAGAGGTTGGAGGTTCAACTCCTGTGATAGGATGGTGGGCCCTCCCCGTGTGTATCTTATGTCAAAATACAAAAATAAAAAAATTTAGTTACATGTATTGATCACACTATTCATATATTCTTCCTTTACTACGTATATTGTGATTTTAAAAGAAGAGTATAGTTAGGCAAGATCTTTCAAAATATTAATTGTTATAATTTAGTAATTTACTATAATATACGAAGTATATATAAAATGTTAATTGTTAAAGTTGTTCGTTGATCAACATGAATTTCAATTGAATCATTTAATAAAAAAAGTGGGGAAGTATTTTGTTAGAAACAGGAGGTCAGAAATTTGAATGAACAGGGGAGTTATAGATGAGGGAATTGTGTTATTCCTAGGATGTTATGAGGTTATGTTGATTAAATTGTAAATTAACTTGAAAGGGAGAATTTAGGATTATGATTCATGTGTACCCTAAATTGCAAGTTTGAAACTTTAACATCAACATTATCTCAATACTACGGGTTTAATGTAATTTGAATTGAAAGACATTTGTAAAATGGCATCGGAATGCCGAATGCATCTTGGTTCATACAGCCGACCCCACCATATTTAGATTATTAAGGCTTCGGGTATTGTTGTATTTTTTTTTATCCTCCACTACTCCAAGGTTGAATGAAATAATTATTGTTCCCCCATCTAAAGATTTGCATTGTTTCATCATCAGAAACTTCCTGAGAAATTTACTTCAAATGAGATTGCAAAGTTACCAGAGAATGTAATTGTGAAAGGTCCAAATGGAATTATATGGCATGTCAACTTACAGAGTAATGACAGCAATCATGTAATGTTAACTGGAGATGTTTGGCAAGAGTTTGTCAAAGCATACTCCTTGCAAAACAACGACCTTCTTACCTTCAAGTATAACAGAACTGACAAATCTTTCGAGGTGTTGTTCTTTGATCAAACTAATTCATGTGAGCGAGAATCTTCTTATTTTGTGAGAAAATGTGAACAACCTCAATCTAATGGTGGTTTTGATGAACAAGCAAAGAGTGATTCGTTTGATAAAATCATTTGTTCTTCTGACAGCACCGCTCACACAGGTAGTATATTATGATCCAGCTAAGTTAATTATTGGGCGAAAAGATTATCAATCTATGTTTTACAAGAGTATGGTTAACAATGTAGCATACTAATATTCATGTGCTTAAACAGATCGTGATCTTGATGATGAACGGGATGAAGATGAGGATGAAAATGAACCTAGCAGGAAATCAAATAAACACAAATCTACTTCAAAACAGCCAAATTCTTTGAAAAAAAATCAAAGTACTCCAAAAGAAGCCTTATCTAATCATTCGAGGAAAAGGAAGTTTACTAGTATGTTTCTGAAAAGACCTAAAGATCTTGTCCATCTTTCTTTTTATGCTCTTCTTTAGTTCTTTATCTATATATAAGCGTAATCTGTTCATAATTTAGCAGGAGGATGTTAATTCAGTGATCTTTTGCTACTGACAAAATGTCTGATCTTGTGCTACTATATATGTTTTTGTATTTTATTTTAAGGATTCGATAAAGGTGAAAGAGATAAACGAAAGGCATTCATCATTGAAGATGATTCCATTTCAAAGAAGAACAATTCTTTGAAAGTGAATGGCAGTAATTTAAATAAGACTCGCTCTCATTCCGCTGCTCGTGTTAGCAATAGAAATGATGTTCCAATCTATGTACGCATGAGTAGGAAGAGCTCCACTGGTATGGCATCAGTCTCTAGTTCATTTACTATAACAATTAAGAACATATTTTGTTTATGTTGAAGTGTGAACTTTTTTGCTTTTATCCCTTTTTGCTGATTTCTGTGGATGACTATATGGAATAATCACTTTTGATTCATGTAGTCGACCCCATTTATGGGATTAAGGCTTTGATTGAATAATTTGACTGATGTGAAGAGAAATTAGTCCTGTAGTGTATGTATCACGTAGTTTTCTCTTAGTGTGCTATAAGTTATTTTGTGCAGTTGTTGCTGCTGCTGCAAGCTATATATCAAACAGAAGGCCTGTAACAGACGAAGAAAAAGAAAAGGCTTACGTGTTGGCAACAAAATATGCCACCGATGAAAGCTTCATAGTGGTCATGAAACCTTCACAAGTCTATAACAATTTTGCTTTGGTAAAATTGCTTCTTTTATGAACCCCTGCCCTTATGATTATTGATTGACAATTGCAGCTTTTCTTGCTTAACAAACTCATCTGGCACTTATGTATATCAGGTAATTCCTCAAAGCTGGAATTATAAAGGTTTTTCACGCGATAAAAGACAGGAGGTGATTCTTAGAACTAATGACAACACATGGGAGGTTAGCTTTTGTATTATAAATCGCAGAGGACATGGAGCATTTAGAGGTGGATGGAAAAAATTTGCACTCGACAATTTCTTGGAGGAGTCCGACTCGTGTTTGTTCGTGCCTGGTGGCCAAGAGAACAAGCGTTTTGTTCTGGATGTTAGCATTTTCAGAGTTGTTCCTGAAGTTACTCCTCTTAGCCCTGTACATTAGAAGATTTTATACTGTCTTTGAGCATGTTTTGAATAAATGCATAGGCACATTTGTGTATTGGTGTATTGTTGCTTGCATTTTCTTTGATTAGCTTTTCAATTATTGTGAAAATTCAACCATCTGTCAGCTTATGTAACCTAATATTCTAATGAGGTGACAAATTAAACAAATTGTTTGGATCAAGTTTGGCTTGGATATGATCATTTTATTTTGAGGATAATTTGAGCTGTCTGATTTGGTTTTACATTTAAACGGGTCATAATATAAATCCAAACTAGCAAATTCAATATAAATTGGATCAAATCATATTCTAACATGCTTATTAGATAGTGGAATGCGATTAGATGTCACATGTATCAAGTAGTAAGACATTAAATTGATTTTGAAAAATAGAAATATTTGCTTGTGACTTTGTGAGTAAGTAATTTTTTTTTTTAAAATAAGTGAGTAAGTAATATTTCCTCCGTTTTTAAATACTTGTTTCACTTTTTTTTCCGGCCGTTTTTAAATACTTGCTCCATTTCCTTTTATGGAAAGCTTTTACAATATTTAATTCATTTCTCACACTTAGTGGACCCAATATAATACTCTCTCTCTTCCTATTCTTCCACTACTTTTGCTATTTACAATTTTTTATTTTCTCAACTACCCCACTATCTCCATATTTTATTATATTCTCCAATTTCTCCTAAAACTCCGCGCATGGATAAATGGAGAAGTCTTTAAAAACGGAGGGAGTATTTTTGTAAATAGGAATAGTTCGTTGGGAGTATGCAAATATCTTGATAAATGAAAATACTTGCATACGGAGTAGAAAATATGTACGTAGGAGTATATATGATAGAAATGTGTGTAAAAATATATTCTCTCTGTCCCTTGTTGATAGTCTCTTATGGACAATTTTCACGGGAATTAATAAACATAAATAAAAGTAGTAAAAGTACATTAAAAAGATAAATTTACATCGAGTATGCAAAAAAGTAGAGAGAGAAAGTAATAAAAAAATACATGAAAAAACAAAATTTACATGAAAAAATTAGATTTGCACAATTATTGTTGCAAGTTGGAGGGAATTTTGATAAAAATTTGATATTAATGGTACTTGAAAAAAGCAAATGAGATTATCAATTTGGGACTAAAAATTTGCTATAAGGTACTATCAATAAAGGACGGAGGAAGTATCAAATTTGCACATTTAGTAGATACAAATTCAAGTACAATGAGCATGTCAATGCCTACTCATTACAAATTGATTTTATGAAAGAAGAAAAAATATACTGCACTACACTTAAATACTTAAATACAAATTGATTACACTTAAATACTTAAAATCCGTTTTAGGAAGATGAAGAATTATCTAAGCAACTTAAATGATATTTACTGCGCTGACTAAAATTAAACGCTTGAGTTAAAATCTTTCTATTTACATCTATTAGGGTAAAATCACTATATAATTTCTTTCTAATTAACTGGGTTCCAAAAAGTAACACACTTACAATTTCCAATTATGAAGAGCAGAACATGGGAAGAGAAGATTTATTGGAAGAATTTTCATTTTTCTCAATTCTCTTTAACTTTACCCACTAATTTTCACCACCACCTTGTAAGTATTCTATTTTAATTATTTTATTATATATAGTAGCGAAAGATTGATTTATTCTCTCTGTCTCTTTATACGTGTATTAGTTTTATATATTGATTGACAAATGTTGCAATTAATTTAGGACGAAAGGAGTAGTTTTGAGTGTTTAATTAATTCATGCACTTGATTAGTGTGGATTATTGCTCTCAATTGACATGGTTGCTTTACGGCTTGGGAATGCTCTCAATTTTATATATGATAGATCCTATTTAAACGAAAGGTTTAGAAATAATACTTCCTTTGTCCGAAATTAATAGTCACAAATTCTTCGTGTTGGATTGGGACATAAGTCAAAACGTTGCGAATAAAAACACAGATGAAGTATCTTTATTTAGCCAGTTAAATTTCTTCATTTTGTTGCTTTTATGTCATTATGAGTGTTTATTTTATTATTAGTTTTCTGAATGTGCTTAAAACAGAAGCTTCCTGAGAAATTTTGTGACTACATGAGAACTATGTTACCTTGAACAAATAGTTGTTCTTAAAGTAAATGGCATTGCTTGGAATGTTGGCTTGAAGAAAGACAAGGATGATATTATGTTTCATGGAGATGGGTGGAAAGAATTTTGCAATGCTTACTCTTTAAAGAAAGCAGATGTCCTGGTGTTTAAGTAGAATCGACGTGAATGTTTTGAGGTTCGGCTCTTTGATGGAGCAAGCTCATGTGAGAAAGAAGCTTCACATTTTGTAGGGAAAGTTCAACAGCAGAACTCTGATGATGATGATGACGACAGTGAAGAATCTGAAGAGAGTTTGAGCAAGGGGTTCACTGATGATACGCGACAAAATGTTTACTATGACTGTCATAATGCTTCTAGAAACAGGCGTAGGAAGAACCCTGGTAGCAGGACACCCAAGAGTAGTTCTGCTCGTTCTACAGGTATAACTTATTCGTTATTTGGATGATAGTATAACAGATTTGACGCAAGGCTCTCTTCCTTAGGAAGAGGAAAGGGAGTCTGGACTAGACTAAAATATCCTGTCTTAGAACTTTGGTAGTTTTACTGTTTCATTGGCTGCAGAGGAAAAAAGGCTGACAGTTTTATGTATTCGATTATTCATTCTTTCTGCAGATGTTTCTGATGATCAAAATGAGTCTGACGAGAATGCTGATGAAGAGGATTCTATCACAGAAGAGGCTAGAACTACTCCGAAGAAAGCAGCTACTACTAGTTCAGCTAGAAAATTGCCAATTAGTGCTTCAAGGAAAAGGAATCGCAATGGTGGTAGTCGTGGTACGTTTTACAGTTCTACTAATGCATAAGAGTGTGATATGATAATTAGGGGTGTCAATTCGGTTAAACAGTTCGGGTTTGGGTTGGGTTTATCAGTTTCGGGTTATAACGGATTGAAATAATAAGCGGGTCGGTTTGGGTCGGTTTTGAAAATTATCGGGTCAGTTCGGTTTGGTTTTTTTAATTGCAGTTTCTATTCGGATTGGGTCCTTATCGGGTCGGGTTCTAGTCGGTTCGGGTCATAATCAATTTGGGTTGAACTAGGTCGGTTTGAAAACGGGTTTAGCCCATTTAATGTGGGTTTCAGTTAAAAACAGTTCGGGTCTTAATCAGGTTGGGTCGTAATTGGTTCGGGTCATAATCAGTTCGGGTTTAACTGGGTCGATTCGAAAATGGGTTTCGGTTCAAAATAAATCGGGTGAAATCGGGTCCAACCATTATTGTTTCGGTTATAATCGGTTTAGATTGAACTTGGTTGGTTTGAAAACGAGTTTACCCAATTTGAAACGGGTTTCTAATCAAAATCATATCGGGTTAAAATTGAGTCGGATGATTATCGAGTCGAATTAGTCAGATATTGGGTAGGAACGAGTCATGTTATAATCAAGTCAAGCCATAAATAAGTTGCGTTTATCGAGTAGTGGGTTGAAACAGATTAGATCATAAACATATTGGGTAACAGGTTGTAAATGACTCAGTCATAACGGGTTACGGGTTTTAAACGGTTTGGTCATAACGGGCTACGGGTCGTAACCGGTTCGGTCACAACGGGTTACGGGTTGGAACGATTTAGGTTTATCGGATTTTTATCGGGTTTTAACGGTTTTCGGTTTAAAACGGGTCGGGTTACTATCGGGTTTAAACGTAATTGGTTTGGGTTGCTTTCAGTTTCGGGTTGTAACGGTTTGGCTTGATAACGGGTCCGGTTAGTAACGGTTGGCACAAATTCGGTTTAGTTCAGTTTCGATTTGGAAAAAATTGGGTCGGGTCAGTTTTCGATTTCCAAAAACGGGTTTTAAACAGTTCAGTTCCTTTTCGGATCGGTTCGAAACAGTCGGGTTTAACGGTTCGGGTCAGAAACTGACAGCTCTAATGATAATTGTTTTAGCTCCATTGTAGCACTTTTCCTTTTGTTTTCTAAGTGATCTACAAATCAAACAGAAGAGATATAACTGATGCAGAGAAAGTAAATACTGAGAGAAAGGCCTTGTTAGCATCAGGACAGCGCGATAACTCATTTACTGTAGTGATGAGACCTATGTTAAATTTTGAAACAATATGAAATGGGCCTGGGCAACCCGAGGAGTAACTCCTCTACCTTATAAAGTGGAACAAACTCTCCTCTTTCTCCAATGTGGGACACTCACAAGTGATACATATTGGGTTCCAACAACCTACCTGTGTTTACAAGCGCTTCTTTATGGTAATCTCATGAATTTAGCTACCATTATAAATTCCTAACTAGCTTGAGTTATAACTTCCTGCACGTTCAACAGTTTAACCCTTGCACTTTTCCGTCATGTTTCAGACAATTCCTTCAGAATCGAACCTTAAAAGTCATTTGAGAAATGGCCAAGTAGTGTCTCTTAGAATGGAGGGGAAAATATGGGACTGCATCGTTAGCAAAAGCAGCAGAAATCATGTAGGTTTTCAATGTTCAGGATGGAGAACTTTTGTTCGCGACAACTTCTTGGAGGAGTTTGATGTGTGCTTGTTTGTTCCTTCTATCAAGAAGAATGGAAGATATGTCCTTGATGTTAGCATATTCAGAGTGGTTCCTGAAGTTGTTCCTTCAACTTTAGTAACTTAACCTTGACTATTGGACGATTTCATGCTACATTATTGATGAATGTTTCTCTGTTTTGTAAATTTTGAGCTAGATGGCTCAAGTAGAGGTACTTCTCTATCCTGCTGGTCGGTTTTACTGGTATGGTTAACAATGTATGCATCAACTATGAACGATGTAGTTATCTTATAATTAATAAATGATAGTAGGATGTTTAGTAAGAGCGAGCTTAAGGCATGCTCTGATTTAATGAATTGTTTATGAGAGAAGGAAATTAGGAACTGAACTGAAGTTAAGCTGAACTGAAGAGAACAGGTCCTAATTATAGTTTTTGAATTTTGTCCCTATCTAATTTGAATTCATAATTACATTACTTAAGGGTTGTTTTTCTAGAGTGAAAAGCTAGCTAGGCAATTATAATGAAAATGATGTTGGAATGAAGTTGGTGAATTTTCATAACTGAGCTACAATTTGCAAACTTTAACTTTGTCCAAAAATGTCTTAATTTCTACCAAATGACCATAATTCATGACCTACATTGCAATTTCTAAGGCCTACAAATTTTCGTCCCTCAATTACTCCATATACTGTTGAGAAATTTCGAGGAAAAAACTTATGAAAGACTCAAATCCGTTGACCGTAGAAATCTTAGTGGAGTAGACTTTAGAGATTGAGTATGACCACTCAACTTGTTCATCATAAATGTGAACGAAGGACCTTGTAAGGGGGTGTTTCATTGGTAATCGTAGGTGAGCATAGAATACATTCCCGTCTACTATCAAACACGGTCATTGATATCAAATGCTCCGTTAGTGGTTTTGTATAGGTCTAGATCGATAACAATCATAACAATCAGTGGCGGACCTAGGAATTTCCGACTGGTGAGTCACAATCGATAACCAAATATGTAAAAAAAATGTTTTACCAACCAAATAATAGTACTAAAAAATACATCCAAAAACCCAGAAACCATATATCCTCTGTTCGTGTACCCTCTTTCTCAGAAGCAAATCATCAACCAGTTTCAGTGCAATGGAGAATGAACAAATAAAAAGCAGCGACTTTTTGAGCTTGAGATAGGAGGAGAGAGAATGCAATTAAAAAAAAATACTACAAAAGCATTTTTCGAGTTTTCATACTTTGAAAGCGTTTCAATAAATCATTATCACTAAATCTAACAAATAAGTCAATCTCAAGAAAAGTGACTTAAACTATCATTCAATAGTTTACCGTTTATACCATTCCGCAACCTTTTTTTTCTTTACATAAGACTTTTTATTTTATTTTTTACATAAGTCATTAATAATGAAAACATTCATTCCACCACTTACAGTCGCTATCAGAAGGATCAATGTAGTCTTAGTATTAATATATTACAATACTAGTCTTAGTAATATTCTAGTTTTTTATTTAGTAAATCAGTAATACAAAAAATAAATTAGATATCTAACTAAAATCTCTAATAACCTAACATTCTAAATTCTAACACCAAAATATTAATATTACACACAAAACAAAAATCTCAATATATACAAATAAATTAAAAAATTATCAATTATACATTAATTATAAATTTAAAAACCCGAATACTTTTCCTTGGGTTGGTATAATCAAGGCTGACCCATCCCTTCTTGTCTTTATCCAACTCAAAGATGGGCCAAGCCACAAGTTTCAGAACAGAGCCAGGCTAGTCGTCTTTTAAGCCCAAGACCTCGGCAAGCATATGTGCAGTAAGCAATAGCGCCCAATCATGACATTTTTTTTAAAAGGAAAAACTTAGTTTTTTTTGGGCCCTAGTGAGTCACTTGACCCACTAGGCACAAGGCCAGGTCCGCCTCTGATAACAATAATATTTGACGCATTCTTTGGGTTACTCAATCAGTATTAAAAGAGTTACTCAGTGAGTGTTTAAGGGGTTACTTTGTTCTTTACAAGCGGCCACACAATGCCCCCAGCCACACGCAAGACACGTAGAATCTAATGTGGTACAATTAAACTACTAGTCCATATCTTCAATCAACCTAATCACCTCCACAGTAATCAATTAATTAACGGCTTAGGCTATGCCCGCAAAAAATAAGGATTGAGTTAACTATAATTCTACTCGTAAATGCTTGTGGCATAGTGGTTGATACAATTACTTAAGGTGCAATGGATGGAGTTTAAAGACCCAAAAGACTAACAATACAGTATACAGTAGTCAATTGGTGTGAAAGACTGAAATTAAAGGCGTGTCCTAAACTTTAAGAATCAAGACTTTTAGGTACTAATGTACTTCCTATTCCTTACGTATCAATTTGACTAGCTATAGTAAACTTTGCTATATATGCCTATAAATAGAGGGACAACCATTGGCAAATTACAAAGCAGTAGAAGTATTAACCAAATAAATTCAAAATATATTGCTTGTAATTTTAGGTATAAAAAATTGTGCAAAATGAATATGAAGGCACTTCTACTTGCAATCTTTGTGGTTAGCCTTGCTTTCACTTTTGCAAAGGCTAATGTTGGGTTTGCTGTTTATCATACTCATCATACTCGTGAGTAATTCTTTAATTTGTATCTCTTCGATAAATAATTAAGGTTTTTTTTTTTTCGTGGTATACTGATTTAATGATTTAACATCCTAATCCTATATATGTATTAATGTACATAGTGGATGATATCATTATAAATTAATTAATACTTGGTATATAATGTTTGAATACTTTATAAACAGCATCGGCATGCTACCAAAATCGAGACAATGGACCGTGGATAACAGGAGTGAGTCATGCTTTATGGAACAATAGAGGAGCGTGTGGAAGGAACTATAGGGTTACATGCATAGGGGGAGCAAACTTGGCTCCGCACCCTTGCAAAGGTGGAAGTGTTATTGTCAAAGTGACCGACTTGTGTGATAGTTGCGCCGGTGATCTTAACCTATCTCAAGAGGCATTCAATGCTATTGCCGACCCTAAGGCTGGGAAGATTCGTATTCGTTATGACCCGTAAGCATATATTCATAACTATGTACTCTACTTTTGTGATATAAGTGTACCACATTTTTGGAGTATAAACTTCAGTATATATATATATGTACATAATTTCTGATGATTTTTTCTTTGTTTAATTTATTTGCAGAGTATAAAAAGGCCTATTGTTGGAAAGATGAAGATTGGAACAAAAGAGCTAAAAGAAAATGAAATGCGAAATAAGTATAAAGTATGCTTGGAAGTAGAGTTGTATGGTCAATTTTCAATCAAATAAAATCTTTTTTTTTTTTTGAGAGAAGGGCTAAAATATATTAAGTTAAGTTAAGGTTTTGCTGGCTTCCCATAGGGTTGCCCAACATTACAGAATGGTGGCCTGAGCCATTAATACGATTAGCAGCATCTTGTTCTAGGATTCTTTTACAAGCATCAGGTGGATCAGTTATAATACAAAAGGAGTTCAAAATGTCCAAGTTCCTTCGGGCATCCTTAGCTAGCAGATCAGCCACACTATTCTTGCCCCTCTCTCCATAGTATAGCTTCACATCAGCTTGTTCCTGTAGTAGCAGCCTGCAAGCATTTACTTTTGGAGTTAGTAGATAATCTCTACAATGTTGAATATCCTGCACTGTGAATTTGGAGTCGGATTCAATATGACATGATGTCCATCCTCGATCCTTGATCCATGTAAGAGCTAGCAAAATAGCTTGGAGTTCAGCATCAGAAGCTGAGGTAGAGAACCCTTTCCATTGAAAACCTTCAATCCAAGTACCATGTTCATTCCTGCAAACTCCTGCACAACCTGATTCTTTTGTGGACCGGAGGAAAGCTGCATCAACATTGACTTTTAAGAAGGAAGGAGGGGGGGAACCCAGGGAGTAGTAGTGTGCTCTATCCTAGTTGAATGCTGGGAGGAGTAATACCATTCACTAGCAGCCCATAAACACTGGGTTATGGATGTTTTTAAAGGGGTGTTCTGTTTAGAGAATAGCCAGCAGTTTCTTCTTTTCCAAATTTGCCAAATACAGAAGCAGAAAATTGAGTTCCAGGGAATGTTGTTATGTGAACTAGTTTTGGATAGGAGATTTTTTTGAAGCCAATCAGGGAAGGATTCCTGCACCCCTTTCAAGGAAGAAGGTGGGGGGGTGAATCTGGTTCCAGAATTTCGAGGCTCTGCTACAAGTCAAGAAGATGTGTTCTGCAGTTTCAGGTAAGGTTGGGCAAAAGGTGCAGGTTTGAGTTGGAGTTATATGCCTTAAGAACAGGTTACTGGCAGAAGGGATTCTATTCCAGAGCAGTTGCTAAAGGAATAACTTTATTTTAGGGTAAGTGTTTGATTTCCAAATGTTATCCCAACTAAGTTGGTCTAAATCTGACTGAAGAGGATCTTTGAGAGAAATAAGACACTCTCTAGCTTTAGCTCCATCAAAACTACCTCTTTTTGTCCAAGTAGTGAAGTTAAAGTCCTCAGAGGTAGACAGATTGATACTCTCTATTCTAGTGAATATGTCATCTGGGATCTGGAAGTTGATAGCCTGTTCTAATTCACCTCTATTATGAATGGTTATGTTGGCTAGGTTTATTTCATCAGAATTAGGGGGTAAAGGGCCTACTAACAGGCTTCTCATGGAATCAGAATGAAGCCATCTATCTTTCCAGTGACTAATGTTTTCCCCATTCCCCACTTCCCAAATCAAGCTATTTCTGAACAAATCCCAACCCTTGCCAACTGCACTCCAAATATGGGAACCCCTATTGAAAGGTGTGGGAGACCGTTTTCCTCTGAACAAAGCCCAGTTTGATTGAGTGTCCACCATCCAGCAAAGTCTAGCTAGGCTCAATTGGTTTGCCTCAGAATTTGAGAGGATTCCCAACCCACCCTCCTCCTTTTTTCTACAAATGCATTTCCAAGAAACCCATGAGGTCTTTCTATTTTCAGAATTTCCCCCCCAAAAGAATTTTGAGCATATTGAATCAAGTTTTGAAATGATGAATTTTGGGAGCTTGATGCAGGACATTGAATATCTGGGAATAGCAAGCATAGTGGATTGTAAAAGGGTTAGTTTCCCCCCCCCCTAGAAAGAGAATTTGCTTTCCAAGTAGCAAGTTTCTTACTCATTTTGTCAATGATGGCAGACAATTGTCTCCTGTTTGGTCTTTTCTCAGACAAAGGGAATCCCAAATAAGTTCCTAGGTCCTTTGATTTGTTGACACCCTGTGTTTGCTCAAAATCATCAATGACATGGATGCTAGTGTTTTTGGAGAAATAAATTTGACTCTTGGACTCATTTATTTTTTGACCAAACACTGAACAGAAATGCTGAAGAGTTCGGGTAACAGATGAAAGAGTTTTCTTATCAGTAACACCAAACAACAAGACATCATCAGCAAATAACAGGTGTGAAATGCTAGTACTCCCCCCCTGAATCTAAATGGCTTCCAATTTTTGCTGAGACATTGATCATGGATTTTCCTGGAAAGGTACTCAAGGCAAATAATAAAAATGTAAGGAGATAGGGGGTCTCCCTGTCTAATGCCCCTAGATGGCTTGAATTCCTCATATAGTTTCCCATTTATGAGGATCTGGGTAGAGGTAGAAGAAATGCAAGACATGATCAAGTCTATAGTATCCTTAGAGAAGTTGAAGAAATGGAGACAACGATTTATGAAGGACCACTTTAATCTGTCATAAGACTTTTCTAGGTCCAACTTTATAGCAAACAACCCCCTTGTTCCCCTTTTTTTCTTCATAGAATGCATGATCTCAGAAGCTATTATGTAATTCACTTCAGTCCCCCTCCCCTTCAAAAAGTTATTCTGATTTGGAGAAATAAGGGTTAGAAGGTGAGGTCTTATTCTGTGAACCAGAATCTTAGAGATTATCTTGTAAGAGGTGTTGACAAGGCTAATGGGTCTGTAACTGGAGATGAGAGAAGGGGAGAAGATTTTTGGGATCAGACAAATGACTGTCTTGTTTATCTGATCAGGGATGGCTTTCTGTGAAAACACCTGTTGAACAAAGCTGAGGCAATCTTGTTTAAGATAGTCCCAGGCAGCATGATAAAAGGCTGCATGGAAGCCATCTAAACCAGGGGCCTTATCAGGCCCAATGGAGAAGAGAGCTTCTTTAGTTTCAGAGAGAAGGGGGATGGAAGAACAGTCAATCTCTTGCAGAGACATGGTGGACTCAATGTTTACAGTATTTTCTGAAGTAAAAAGATGTTTGAAATTATCCAAGATATGGGAATGAATCTGATGAGGGTCCTCAATCCATTCACCTACCTGGTTTTTTAAAGCAAGGATTTTGTTTCTTTTCCCCCTAATGATGGCAGAGGCATGAAAAAAGGAGGTGTTTCTATCCCCATGAAGCAACCAATCAGACCTTGCCCTTGTTGCCCAAAAAATTTCCTCTTGATCTAGAATGATATTTAATTGAGATTGGAGGTCCTTTTCCAGGTCCAGCAAGTGAGTGAAAGCAGGATTTCTTTGAAAGGCTAGTTGAGCACCATTTATTCTAGCAATTAATCTCTTTTTCTTGGCTTGGTTGTTTGAAAAAAGGTTGGCAACCCAAGGTTTGAGATCTTTTGCTAAGTTATTTAGTTTTTGTTGAAAAGGAGGGGGGGTAAGAGTTCCATTTTTGAGATACAAAAGGAATGAAATCAGGGTCAGTGAGCCAAAGAGGTTCAAATCTGAAGGGTGCTGTACCAGGAAAGGCTTTTTTCTGCTCAAGTTGAAGTAGAAGGGGGTTATGGTCAGAGGACATCCTAGGTAGATTTGTGACAAAATTATGAGGGAAAAGTCTTATCCAACCATCATTCGCCAAGAACCTGTCTAGTCTCTCAAGAATTGGATTTTTCTTTTGTTTATTGAACCAAGTGAACTTGTGTCCCACATATCCTAAATCTACCAGATTACAGTTATGAATGGTTTCTTTGAAGGCTCTCATTTGATGCAAAGGGTGATTGTTACCCCCCCACTTCTCATGGTCAAAGCAAATTTCATTAAAGTCCCCACAAACAACCCAAGGCATATCCGAATTTTTGCTAAACAATTCTAACGAATTCCATAGTTCTAATCTGCCATTGAAAGAAGTGGAAGCATAAACTGCAGATAATAAAAATTGGTGTGAGTTTTTTACCTGCACAACCGTGTGAATTGCGCGAGGTTCTTTGTTAACCACTAGGAGAGAGTGAGAGCCAGAGTTCCACATGATAAGAATTCTTTATTTGTGGAATTCTTATCAAATAAAATCTTTTTAATTGCTCCAGTATTGCTATACGTATGACAAGTTACATGTAAGAAATTGTTAGTTATATGCTTATATCATCTACATTGTATTATACTACTTGTGAATTTAAGTTTTGAACTAGTTCATTTCATAACTAAAATTAAGATTAAGGATAAATTGATCAGTAACATAAATTAAGAAATTTCCAAGTAAAAAAATTGCTATCATATCAAACTTATGTACCGAGTATATTCAATCTCCAATTACCCGTTTGGTTTAATGTAAAACATTTTCAATGAAAAATTAGTTATTATGGAAAATATATTTTCAAGGAAAAACACAATTGCAAATTAGTTTTCCTTTGTTTGGTTGCATACAAGAAAAGTCCAAGAAAAATAAAAAAAATAAGAGTGGAAATGTAAGGATGAATGAGAGGGAAGTAAAAAAAGGAGGTAAGGAAGAGAGGAAAATGTGGCTTCCCCTTGTTTTGAGAAGGAAAATGTTTTTCATCATTAAGGATGGAATTTACCACCCTTGGAAAAATTGTTTTCCACCCTTAACAAACCAAACAAAGGAAAATGGGAAAAAAATGGAAAACTCATTTTCCATGAAAACCTTTTACATCAAACCAAACAGGGCCTAAATTAGTGTCATGTCTAATTAGTTATCAGTTAAACTGATATATTCAAATATGTTAATATGTAGATTTTGATACAGAGTATATACCAATTTAATCGACTTGAATAAACTTAAATAAGAAGTAAGCTAAGTTCGTTTAGAATTTAGACGAATCTATATAAGGATTGGTTTTTTCCTTTTTTTTTTTTAAAAAAAAAAGGCTTTTTAGATAAGCAAATTTTCAATTGAATTTTTAAGAGTTCCCTCAAACAAACAAATAACACTTCAATACTTCATAGCAATTGGAAATCATAAAGACACTTAATTTCTAGTTTATTTTAATTAATATCATTTATTTAGTCCCTCCATTTTATAATAATTGCAATACTTTGAGTGATACATATATCGATTTACAACTTTAAAGCATTAATATGTGTAAATATGTCTTACTCTTGCCTAAGCAAATTAGCTTTGCGTAAATATGTCAAGCTAATTTGCTTGGGGTTAAAACTTGCCAAATAAATAATTCAACATTATATAGAATAATTGAAATATACAAATGTTGGAGCACAAAATATATAGCTAATATAATTTTCTCTAAGAAAAAAAAAAGTACTCTCCGTCCCCAAAACTTCGACCCTTTTAGGTTTATTTTGCGGTTATTAATAAACTTAAATAAAAAAAATATATTGGAAAGATAAATTTACACGGGGTTTGTAAAAAGATAAAGAATTAAATATACATGAAAAAACAAAATTTTATATGGGGAAGTTAATTTTACACAAATATTGTTGTAAATTGGTAGGTATTTTAATGCAAATGGGTCAATCATTATGGGGCTAAAATTAGGCCAAAAGAGTCGAAATTTTGGGGACGGAGGGAGGGAGTAGCTAAAATAATACTCCGTAATTAGGTTAAAAGATTATGTGGCATATGGCTACTAATTTGACAATTAGCCTATCACTAGAGTTGCTCTAAAATTGATAAAATGAAAATATGAATAAAGATTACTTCAAAAATGTTTTACATACAACATTTTTTTATTAAATAGTCACAAGTCAAATTGTTGCAATTATTACGAAATAATGAAAACATTTATTTGTTATGGAGAATAAGAAGATAAAAAATTACCAACTCTATTTTTTTTTTAATATATCACTTTGACTTATGCGCTATTGACATACCATCTTTGATTTATTTTTCTTATTGTACTATTTAGGGGGAGGAGAAAGTACTACTTGTATATGATTTAATTAGACAATTAGTCGTAATGTTATTTTTATACGGAGTAATTTAATTATGTTATACTCCGTAATTTTTACTAACAGAAAATTAAATAGGATCTTGCTAACAAACACATTGGGACGTTGGATAAACATTTAAAATCCTACTTAAAGTGGTATTAATTTGGGAAAGCATGATAAAACCACGTGTCTACTTTTAACTAGTAGCTTATCCAAAGTAGACGTTTGTTAGCATTTTCTAATTAAATATAACGGTCAAAATAACGTCTCAACAGAGAGATCATTAAAAGAAAAAATGAGACAGAATAGATGGAGCCCAGCAGGCAACATTATTTACTGCACTGACTAATAATTTGTTTCTAGTTATCTGGGTTCCAAAAAGAAACACAATTACCATTTCCAAATATGAAGAACAAAACTTGGGAAGAGGAAATCTACTGGAAGAATTTTCACTTTTCTCAATTCTCTTTAACTTTGCCCACTGATTTTCATCAACACCTTGTAAGTGTACTCTTGGCCCTCTTTTAAATTAGTATTATTGATGGTAAAAAATAAAAAAAAAAATTGTTTTTGTTTTTTTTTTTTTTTTCAAATTTACATGCATTGCTTGAGTTTGAGACATAGCTCATTAATAATGTGATTTTTGGTGTCTAATTTAGTGTTAATTACTTGTACTTTCCAAGTTTTAAGGGTTGTCAAATGTTGCTTTTAATCTGGGATGAATGGAGTAGTTTGTTTTATAATTTCAATTAATTCCTGTATTTTATTAGTGTGGATTATTGCTTTCAATTGACATGTTTGCTTTTTAATTGATCTGTCTAACTGGAGAGGAATGTGAGTTGGCTTTATTGAACATTATTCTTACTCCAATTTTTCAATTTTATGATTATAAATTCCTAAATGATCGGTTGGAAAAGATACTTCCTTTGTCCGAAATTAATAGTCCAAATTCAGTTGTCACATTTTTTGGTATAGCGGTATAGGTTGTTACATAAGTCAAAACGTTGCAACTAAAAACACGGAGGAAATATCTGAAGTGTCCATCAGTTCGAATCCTAGAGTTACACTACTTTTTTTTAGCCTACTAAACTTCTTCATTTTGTTGCTCTTATATGTGTGTTTTTTCGTAATGTGTTAAAAACAGACACTTCCTAAGAAGTTTAGTGACAACATGAGAGCCAAGTTACCTGAACAAGTAGTTCTTAAAGTAAATGGAGTTTCTTGGAATGTTAACTTGAAGAAAAACAAGGATGATATTATGTTTCATGGAGATGGGTGGGAAGAATTTGGAAATGCTTACTCTTTGAAGAAGGCGGATGTCCTAGTCTTTAAGTACAATCGAAGAGAGTGTTTCGAGGTCTGGCTCTTTGATCGAGCAAGTTCATGTGAGAAAGAAGCTTCTTATTTTGTGAGGAAACCTCAGCAGCATAACTCTGATGATGGAGACGATGAGGAGGATCATAATGATGACTGCAGTGAAGATACAGCAAAGAGTTTGACTGAGGGAGAGTTCACTGATGATACAAGCCAAGAAGATCACGACGACTGTCATTATGATGCTTCTAGAGACAGGCGTAGAAAAACACCTGTTAGGACTCCCAAGAGTAGTTCTGCCAAACCTGCTCGTTCAAAAGGTATAAATTTTTCACAATCTATACCTTATAAAAATCGAAAGGGAATCTGGAGTTTCGGTTCCAAGAGCCCTTAACTCTGAAATTGTCACTAGACAAATGCATCTTGTCTTTGTACTTCTGATAGTTTTACTGTTTCATTGGCTTCAGAGAAAAAAGTCTGACAGTTTTATGTATTATTCTCTTCATTCTTGCTGCAGATGTTTCTGATGATCCAGATGAATCAGACGAGAATTCTGATGAAGAATTTTCCATCTCAGAAGAGGCTAAAACTACTCCGAATAAAGCAGCTACTACTAATTCAGCTGGAAAATTGCCAACTAATGCTTCAAGGAAAAGGAATCGCAATGGTGGTACGTTTTATAGTTCTACTACAGAATAAGGGGTGTAAATTTGCATAATTTTTGAGACCTATAGTGCTTCCTACTTGCATTGGTTAAGTACTTATATTTCCGTGTTCAAAATTGCAGAAATAATGTACATATATCTTGAGTTTTTAGCGGTACAAAAGAATGGCTAGGAATCAAAGCCCTTGTTTATATTTGATTAGGGAATTGAATGACCAAGAAATGAAAGTTCCCTGATACATGTTTCAGCTTACATCAGTTACTTTTTTTCCCTTTGTTTTCTTTGGTGATTACATACGACTATACTTGTGATTCCTTCGCAGCTAAAAAGATATTTGGCAAAGGAAGTGGATCAAGTCTTTATTCAGTGTGCTACAAATCAAATAGAAGAAAGATTACTGATGAAGAGATAGCAAATGCTCTAAGAAAGGCCAAGGTAGCAAAAGAACAGCACGTTAACTCTTTTCATGTAGTGATGAGACCTTCCTGTGTTTACAGGCGCTTCTTTATGGTAATGCCATGTAATTTATAGCATTATAAATCCTAATTAGCTTATTCTTAGCTATAACTTCCTGTACATTCAACGGTTTAGCTTTAACCCGCGCAATTTTCTGTCATGTTTCAGACAATCCCTGCAGAATGGGAACTTAAAAGTCAATTTAGAAAAGGCCAAGAAGTGTCTCTCAGAATGCAGGGGAAAATATGGGAGTGCAGCATTTACAAAGACGGAACTAAACTAGGTTTTCAAGGTTCAAGATGGAAAACTTTTGCTCGCGACAACTTCTTGGAGGAATACGATGTGTGCTTGTTTGTTCCTTCTGTCTCGAAGAATGAAAGATTTGTCCTCGATGTAACCATATTCCGAGTGGTTCCTGATATTGTTCTTCCTAGTGTAGACGTGTAGTAACTTTACCTTGACTGATGGATGGGTTTGTTGCTGTATTATTGATGAATGTTTTTCTGTTTTGTAAATTTTGTGCTAGACTAGATGGCTGCTGTAATTGTACTTTTCTATCCTACTTGTCTGGGTTATTGGTATAATTAACAATGTATGCATCAACTTTGAAAATAATACGAACAGTCTAGTAATCTTCAACTATCATAGTCTTCTAACAGTAGGTTAAGTATTGGCACATAGCTACTATTTACATGCCAAGTAAATAGTAGCTATAAGTAAATAGTAGCTATACGACAAAATAGTGGTGAATTTTTTTTTTTCTTCTAGTGGTACAATATTTGTACCATTGTTACATATATTAGTTATAAATAGTACTACTAAAATACGAGTAGCTTATAATCTAGTACTCCGTAGTACATTAAAAATTTCACTGTAAGTATAATCGTACATCAAAAATACCACTATAGCAATAAAAAAAAATCTCAAAAACTAAGTGAATTTACCAATTAACCCTCTTATATGCATCCTAAACATATAGGAGCTATGCGCCTAGTTGTACTCATAACAGTATTTACTCCGTAGTAGTAAATAGTTAAATGTATTTTTTTGCCAAAAGTTTAACAATTATTAAAACACGGAGTAAGAAGGTAAATTATGCAAAAAAAATTCTTTTTTTTGAGACACAACTATGCAATTACTGAAAACAACAATTAATTTTGAGATGACAAACAAAATAAAATAAAAGTAATGTACTCCTTAGTTTAAGTTAGTTTAGTTTAGTCCAAAAAAGGGGCCTTATTGTGTGGGGCTATTTTTTATTAACTCCTCCACAATTCACAAACCTGTTATGTACAGTACAACCTTCGTACTTTGTATATGAGCTTATTTATTAAAAAAATCTCGAGAAATCAGAGTAAATTAAGGTAATTAATTGCATATTAAATACTCCAAAATTTCCCTATTTAATTTCTCTTCATCATCTTCTTAATAACTTCAACCATTTGTATTTAGGGTGGCATTTCACTGTTAAAAAATGGAGTCTGGGAATTATAAATCATGGGAAGAAGAAATTTACTGGAAGAATTTTCATTTTGCTCGTTTCTCTCTCATTTTACCCACTAATTTTCATCATCGTCTCGTAAGTTTTCTGTATTTAATTAAATTACTGCACATTTTTTAAATTAGGAGTATTAATTTCACTCCATTTCTTTACTTTGATCTTGTAAAATAAACTATAATTAAATTGCCATTGTATTTTTATTGCTGTTTTTTCTTTTACCATGGATTTGTTCGTTAATTATTGATTATTATTGTGTTATTCTTTTTTTTTTTTTTTGTTTTTTTTTTATATTATTGGAATAAGGGTTTTTGAGTTGACTTGTGTAGTTACGAATTATGATCAAAGTTTTTGTTAGGGTTTAACAGTTATCATTTGTCAAAAAGTGACCTGATCAAATTTCAATTGGTATGAGCAAAATGATTTAGCATAACTCAAACTTTATCTAAATCCGACTCAACTCAACCAAACCCGACCAGTCACCCAAATTGACACGTCTAGGTGTATCTACGTGGTCTCAGGGTGAATTATTGTTGTATCGTTTACAGAATGTAAGTCTTTAATACAAGTAGACTTTTCAGTGTAGTGGAAACCCTCGTTGTTGAGGAGTGACTTGATATATTGTTAATTCGGTAACTTCAATTGAACTGAAAGACATGCAAGTTGGTTGATTAATTAATTTATACGGAGTACCAAGTATGGGTATCAATTTGGTATGTGGTCAATGCATTAATCCTAATACCAATTAACACTTCTTTTTCGTAAGGGCCTTTCTTTGGATTTGGACTCGAATGAAGCTTTGCATATGATTTTTTTAGGAATGGCGCGAATAAGATGATATTCATTTTATTAACAGCCTATACTCTTAACAAGAGTCCTCTTAGGGCCTGTTCTCATACGTTTATTTTCAATTCAGTTCAGCTCCTAATTTCCTTCTCTTATAAAATTTTCAATTCAGCTCGGCTCAGCTCAATTCAGTTGGGTTCAGTCAATGAGAACAGACCCTTAATAGGGTTATGCACAAAAGATCAACTCATATTATTAATGTGTATAAAAAATACTATGTAAAATTAAACTGTATAAGATTCCTAGTAAATAAGAATAATACTAATTTGCAACCAAGTTTTAAGTGCAAAACTGCCTAGCTACTTGCTCGGTTGCTCCTGCAATTTTATGGGCTGTGTACAAGCAACACATTGCTTGAATACACTTGTGAGAAAGGACTCTTCTAATTGTATCTCTATTATTTTTATTAAGTTATAGGATTTGGGTGTTTGAGCTTTACATAGTTAGGTTCATAAATTTGATGTAAAAGATTTGAATGCATTTCATTGCTTTTGTCACTATTATAAATTTCCGGGTTAATTCCTTCATGTTACTCCTCACAATGTTGGATTTTGTAATGTGTAATAATTAGATGCTACCCAAGAAATTTGCTGATCACATGAGGACACATCTACCTGAGAAAGTAGCTCTCAAGGTAAATGGAGTTACCTGGGATGTCAATCTGGAAAAAGAAAAGAATGATGTAATGTTTCGTGGAGATGGGTGGCAAGAGTTTGCGAAAGCATACTCCTTATAGAAGTCGGATATTCTGATTTTCAAGTACAATAGACATGAATGCTTTGAGGTCTTGATCTTTGATCAAGCAAATCTATGTGAGAAAGAAGCTTCCTATTTTGTTAAAAAAGGTCTACAGCCGAACTCAGATGGCAGTGATGATTCCGGTGGAGAGGCAAAAGAGACTTCGGCTGAGGAGGTACCTGATAAAAATCAAGGAGATGATGACTCTGTTGATACTCTTGGAAGCAAGCGTAGAAAGAACCATGGTAGGGCTCATAAGTAGAAGTGTATATATGTAGTGAACTTTTTCATGTATTCGTGTATCTAACTCTCTCTATCTCTCTGTAGATGGTTATGATGAAGATGACGGGGATGATACTTCTGATGAAGAGAATTCCGTCTCATCAGATGATTTTATTACTCCAAAGAAAACTGCTACTGAAAGAGTAAGAGAAGTGCCATCCAATTTTTCAAAGAAACGGACCTACAAAGTTTGTAAGTTCTATAATTTTTGTGCATATATGCATGTCATTTGTTTTCTTTTTCACTGCATTTCGAATCAATAGTATGTGCTACGTAGTTTCTTGAACTGGTCATCATTTCAGAGAAGATTAGTTCTGTTTTGATTGAATTAAAGGCAGTTGAGACTTGAATGGTAAAAAACAAATGTTTGATTGACCCTTTTGTGATGACTTAAACTTATATATGTAATGTAATGTTTCCTCTTGTAACGATTTTTCAGATGAAAAGAGTGAAAAGCCTATTCCTAAAAGACAAAAGTCTTATGGTTTAACATACATTTCGAATAGAAGACCAGTCACTGATGCAGAGAAAGAAAAGGCTTTGGAGAAGGCGAGGGATACATCCAAACAATACCTTAATTCCTTCATTGTAGTTATGAGACCGTCTTGTGTCTATAGGCGATTTTTTTTTGTAAGCTCATTCTTCTGCCAATTTACCACTTTGGCATCGAAATTTTTTTATGCTTATATATTCTGTTAACCGACTCCACTTATGGGATTAAGGCTTTGATTGATATTATGATAACCTTTTTGATGCTTTAGTCGATTCCAAAAGAATGGGAACCTACGTATGTTTTCAAGAAAGGCGAAGAAGTAATACTCCGTGTGAAAGATAAAACATGGGTGTGCACATTTAATTGCAGTAGATATACAGGAGGATTTGAGGGTGGCTGGAAAAGATTTGCTGTTGAGAATTTCTTAGAAGAATTTGTTGTGTGCTTGTTTTTTCCTGTTGTCGGCTCAAATGTTGGGAAATCTGTACTGGATGTTAGCATATTCCGAGTGACTCCAGTAGTTGTTCAACCTACCCCAGTAACTACATCCAATGTAGATGTACAAGAGATTTCAAGTGAAGATGGTAGCCTAGGAGATGATGATTCTGATTATGCCTCAAGAAACAGGAAAAGGCGAAACAACTCTGGTGCAACTCCTAGGGGCCATTACTCTGGCAGTAATGCTCATAAGAAAGGTATATTTGTCCTTTTAGATTATAAGTTTGCTCTCTATAATGAGAAAAGGTCCAAAAAATTTCACACATGTATATATATATATTTCTACTCTTTCTTTTATCTGCTGAAGGTCTTTGCGAAGATGAAGGAGATGAGAGTTCTGATGAAGAAATGACCAGTACAGACGAGGACAGTACGCCAAAGAAAGCTGCTGCAGGACTGCTAAAGGGAGAGAAGTAACAGCCAATTCTAATGGGAAAAGTAAGCACAACATTGTTATGTTATACAGTTGTGTGCCTCCTTACCTGTTAGTTCATGTTAATTCTTTTCTCTTGAAAATTTAAATACGTTACTCGTATAAAGTTGCTCAAATTGTACTTGTTTGATTGGAATTGAGCAAGAAATTCCGTCATCTGTGTTTAGTATGTCTAGTTGGAAACACTTTCACATTTTCCATTAAAACTCTCTTCTATTTTCTTCCCTTATTTACTACAGTAACTTGTGAACATGTATGAAATTTGTTTTGAATCCTTCCGGTTTTGTACGAACATTTATAACACCGACTTACTAGCTAGGCGAAGAATAAACACTCTTCACTCTTTAGTTTATACTCTAAGCTAGATGTTCTATGTTTTCCCTTGTATCATAAATGATGTGATGCTTTACCAAATTTTCAGCTGGAAAAACTACCCCTGGCGAAAACAGGACATTTTGTGAATCAAGTGTAAGACAAGCAACTGAAGCAGAGAAAAATCAGGCTCTTAAAAAGGCAAGGATAGCAGCAGCTCAATACAAATACCAATATCCTTTGATTGAAGTGATGAGGCCATCTAGTGTTCGTAGACGATTTTTCCTGGTAAATTTTCTTCCTTCATTGCATCAAATTTGCATCAAATAATGCATTCATTTCATCAGTGTCAATAATCTTTTTAAGTACTTTTGCTTAGATTACACGTGCCACTTCATGTATATAATATAATGTTTGTTCAGTCGTTTTCTAAGGACTGGAAAATCAGGCGCAAATTGAGGAACGATCAAGAAGTGATCCTTCGAGTTAAGGAAAAAACTTGGACGTGCACATTTAGTTTAAGTTCTAACAATGTTGGACTTTTAAGTGGCTGGAAATACTTTGTTCCTGATAATAAATTGGAAGAAGATGATGTCTGTGTGTTTGTGCCGGTTGGAGAACAGAACAAGACATTAGTCCTTGATGTTATCATATTCCGAGCGCGTCCAGAGATTGATTAATGATGTTTTGTAACTCTGTTTTTTAGACTAATAATTTGTTGTGAACATAATGGCCTCATTGATGGTCATTCTGCTACTCTGTAAGCTAGGAGGAGAAACTGTCAAATTTCGAGTTCTGAGGTGGATGGCTGATTTAATTTCTCTAAGATAAGGCCTCCCTCTTTTGGAAATGAGATTTTCAGGTTTGTTTTGTGAAGATTAGTGGGAACTGGTTTTGTTGATTCTTGTATAAATTTCAATGTTTTGCATTGTGAATGTGATTCTAACATGAAAGTTAACATGAGTATGTACATGACAGATATTTGAAGTAAAGGGAAATATTGTGTCAAAAAAAAAAAAGTAAAGGGGAATATTAATAAGACAATAGAGAGGTAATATAAAAGTCTATGGTAATACAAGGTTTATTATAATTTCTAATGGGCATGTAACCAATAATCTCACACAATTTACAAACGAGACGGGTAGCTAATAGTATAGTCCCCCTAAATAATCGAATTCACCCAATAGGCCAACATGACATAAAATCAAGTTACCTAAGAGTTTGAGACTAGCTAGTTGTATCAAAATGTAACGTTTTGATGGGTCGCATATAACAGGTAAGTCATTACACACATTATGCAGGTAAATTCCCTATTTCTCATGATTTTGTTTCTCACATGACATTTTCGTAAATAAATCAACAACTTTATTCAACTTTATTCAATTGTGGAGCCCACAATAATGAAAAATTGTTGATTTATTCACAAAAATGTCATTATGAGAAACCGGGGCATCCTCCATTATGCATTAGCAGCAAAACTATTAATCAAAGACAAAGCATTACTTATCAACTTCACAACATAACCAACCTTTTCACTCACTTCATCATCAACCTTCTTCCCTCCCTGAACGTCGTTAAACCCTTCCATACAAGTATCCTGATTCGTAATCGCGGCACTCATCCACGTTTGCACATTACTCAACTCAAACCTTTTGTTCCTCCTTCCTCTCTCATTTCTCCGTCGAGCTCCACTACTCATCAGAACCATCTTCATCTCATTTAGCGACTTCCTAACCAACCCTACAGCTTCTTTCGTCAACTCCACGCAATCTCTAACCGCCATATCTTTGGCAAATATTTTATTATTTATATCTGCCACATAATCTGCTGTCCGATTGGCTTCAGTGAGACTGGTCCCAATTGCAACATAGGTTAGCTTCCCGAGATCCGGGTCACCATTGTAGGAAACTGAAAGGGTAGAGTAGCAAAGGTTTGAATAGAGGGTTACTTGACAACTACTCTTGATAAAGTCATGAAGGGTTTTGGGGTTGGTTGAGGTGGTGGATTCGACGGCGACGAAGGAGAGGAGGAAGGGGAGGTGGATGGAGGTTGAGAAAAGGGAGAAGTGTGTAAGTTGCATGATTAGTGTAAGGTTGGATATTTTTTGCATGGTATGTAGTTGTTCATGAAATTTGAGGGTCTACGACTAACATTATATAATGCAAACAAGAGTAGTTTTTATTGGTTACTTACATACATTATAGAAGTGCATTATTAATTTAATATTGTAGGACATCATTAGGTGCGTAATCATGAATTTAATTAATATTTGCATGACATTAGTTAATTGATTGATTAATTCACATGGAATATATTAAAATTGTACTACTAGCTCTTTTTTCTAAAGGTATGGCGTGTGAGCATGAATTCCTCAAGGCCGTCAAAGGTGTGTTAATTGATCTCTCCATATAAACATAGATTATTGATTATATGTATGTACTCTTTCTGTTATTTGTCTTAATTTGATTGATATATTTTTTTAATTTAGAACTTTAAACCATTATATATTAATTATCAAAAAGTTTTAACCATAAAAAATTAATATATTAAAAAATTATACCTTGGTACAATTCTAACAGAGTAACAGACACTCATATAACTATGTTTGATCTTATGTTTATAGCACGAACATTGATCAAAATTATGTACCTTAATAGTGGAAGAGTCAAACTAAGACACTTAAACAAAATCGAGAGAGTAATTACAAAGGCTTTAAAATAAGTTTGGACAAATGCACAATGATTATTATTTTAATTTGCTAGGTGAAGAAACTAGGTCAGGTTCGATTCTTCAGAGTGTTGAAGACATTGAGGTGCACTTTTAGAGTAAAAAGTTATCATCCTCAAATTAAAGTGTCCATATAAAATTTGAATAATGATTATATGAGTTAAAGGACAAGCTATAAGCCTATAACCATTTAACCACTCCACCAAAACTAACAGAATTGTTGAAATATAAAATGGTGGACATTGATAATGGAGTGCTACCAAAATTATATACGAAGTATTATGAGTTTATGACACGTTAAAACTAGCAATCTACCATATTTTAACACTTTTCTGTCAAAAAAAAATACAAAGCATATTTAAATACTTCCTATTTCTCTTTGTTTTTTTTTTTAAAAAAAAAAAAAATATTACTCCGTAATAATAATAATTATTATGTTTTTTCCGTTTATTTATCAATACATAACTTTAACTATTAAGTATTAACATTTTTAATCATACATTTGTAGTAAAAAATATAAATTTGAATCTTATTAACCCACACTTTAAACTCGATCTAACAAATTTCATATAAGTTACTATTCCAAGTATAAGAAATGAAAATTGAAGTAAAATATATGAATAATGTACATTGTAGATATGTGAAAAGGGAAAAAATTGCAAAAGTGAAATCTTGATATAATCTTTATTTACATTTGGTTATGCATGGTGAATTGGTGATTAATGAAAAAAAGGTGGGAAATTCAAATAAATATTTTTTGTATATTAAATTTATTGATAAAAAGTCATATACTACCTTTGTTAATTGTTATCTGCAACTTTGGAATATTTTATATCTCACAAATAATACCTCAAAGTTGCAGATAACAATTAGTACATAGTATTTAATATTCATAAAAGAAATCGAATTTAACAAATACTACATATATATTCAATTGGACCAAATAAAGGTTTTCCTTCGAGGATCTACATTAAAAGGGAAGATCGATATTGCCTCATTAGTCATTACATACTTGTATAGTTCACACATGCATATCGCTTGAATTTATAGTCTACTTGACTACTTGTATATTTCACACATGCATATAAGAGGTTGTTATTTGTTAATATGATTGCCAATTTGCAAATACCTTTAATTCCATACCATTGCATTCTACGTCACTGTGCCATCATATCAGTAATAATACACTTGAATGTATAAATCAACATCAACTAACTATATCTATATTATTAAATCCATACTACTTACGTTGAATAATTTCGAGCTGAATCTATGTCAACGTGAGAACCGTTGTTGTTATTTGTCTTCAATTGATAATTTCATTTAATTAGTTCATTTCAATGGTTGGTGGTAGTATTATTTAAAAGATATACTAGTATATTAGTGTTATACTCCGTATTTCCATAATTATACAAAGTTAATACGTCATTCCAAGCTGTACGTAGTGTGAGATTTGATTATGTTAGTGAGATGAATATCGGGAAGGAGAATTGTAAGATTTGATTCTATATTATGCTACTTCGTATTAATCGGATAAGGGAAGAGTACATTTTATATGTAAGTTAAGACTATTAGGGTCTGTTATGATTGATTAAACTGAGTTGAATTGAACTGAATTTATTGGAGATAAACTGAATTTAACTAAATATTTTATAAGATAAGTAGAATTAAGAACAGAACTGAACTGAACTTGTTGGAACTGAAATGAAATGAACTTAAAATAATCTGAAGAGAATATACCCTTTCATTGACAAATATCGAAATACATAGTATACCAAAACAAGTATTACTTGCTCTTCCACACAAATGGTGGCGTGCAAAAACTTAAGGGTCCAAAGTTTGATCTTCCAACCTTTTGCTCAAAATTCTTGATACATAAGCACAATGCCACAACTTTCTCATAATATTTATCAGGCACTATTATATTAGTTATATGTTATAGCCATTAAATCAGGAAAATCTTGTAAGGTAGCGCCCTAGTTCACCTCATTTAAGATTCAAAAGTATTATGTCAGTTTGGATTGACAAAATGTTTTGTCAGTCCAGCGTGGGTTTTTGATATCCTATATTAGCTGGATGTTATCCTCTATGGTTGGATGATATCCTCTATTGGTTATATCATGATTACATATAACCAATAGCAGATACCATTTAGCCAATAAAGGATATCATAGACACAATCATAAATAATATCATATAGTGAATAGAGAATATCATCAAACCATTATGGGGGTGTTTGGTTCAAGCATATTAGGTACAAGGTATGGGTTTGAAATGACCAAAACCCATATCTTGTGTTTGTTTGTAGAAATTTCATTTTTCAAACTCATACCTCAAACCCCCAAGGTATGGGTTTTTGAAACCCAAGGGAGGAGGTGGCCAGGTGGGTATGGCTCATACCCATACCTTTAGTTTAAAATTAAAAGGAAAACTATCATTCCTAGATAAAAACCAAACACATGAAATCAAGTATCAAGTTCCAATCCCATACCATCCAAGTTTCATTCCTCATTCCAAACTCATACCATTGTTTGAACCAAACGCCCCCATATATCATAGATATCATCCAGCCAGTAGATAATATCATATAACCAATAGAGAATTTCAACCATCCATAATATTATATAGCCAATAGAAAATGTCATTAGATTATATGTATAAATAATTGAAGGATATAGATTATTTAATGGAAGATATGTATGACTTGTTTGAAGATATATATAATTTGTTTGAAAATATGTATAAGTCCAGTGAATATTGTCATTGTTTGAACTTTTATAACTTGAAAGTTAAAAGACAGGCTAAGCCTACGATAAAATGGGTATCGACCTTTAACTCTTTAAGTGGATGATTCAGTTTCATGACTAGCGTATAGTTGATCTCTACACTATACTCTCCATCAATTTCCTAGGAATCTAGGATCAAGATGTGGCATTGATTATACTCGTATGATTATGTGTGTTGGCCCAACTTTTCACAGCTCGTATGATATGATTTTGGGCTACTTACATTTGTAACAAGTGTGTAGTTTTGCCTTGTGTATTATTGTATTATGACACTTTTCAAACCATGTTTGACAAGTTGGGCTTTTTTTTAGTTTTGGCATAGTTCTGACTTTTATGTGGCTTGCAAAGTGGCACAAATGGTGGTGGTGGAGGTGATTTGTTTGTTAGAAATTTGTCTTGTTTGTTTAGTTGAGGATCTAAGTTGTCAAATTAGCTACTTGTAATTAAAATATGAATAGATTGTAATGAAAAAAATAATGAAGAAACACAAACTATTGAGTGCGGACGTCCGCACCCAATAATTCGTACGTCCTTACCATTTTGCTTTCTCTTTCCCTCTCCTTTTTCTCTTCCCTTCTCTTTCTCTCTCTTCTGCTCTTTCTTTTTTCTAGATCTAAATCAAAATCTGAATTCACATCAATAAGCATTGAATCAAAATTGATGACCTGCTTTGTTTGAAAGTAGATGACGGATGCAGAGGTGGAGGCGTTCGCTGGTGATGGTGCCATTCACTGGCTAGATGCAAATCACTAGCAGTGGTGGCATTTGCGAAGGTGGAGTCGTTCGCCGGTGATGGTGGTAGCGTTCTGTGGTTTATGGGTGCGGTGGCCTGGGTTCGGTGGTTTGATATCAGTCAACATTAAAGACATTAATAAAAATGTATCAACCAACAAAAGGTACTAATAAGTCAACAAAATGACACATATTAGCCAACAAAAGGATGAAACTATCAAACAAAAGCAACAGGTAAGCCAACAAACTAAACATATCAGCTAACAAAATGAAATATATAAACGAACAATTAAAATATACATATCTGCCAATAAACACAAATATATCAGTCAACTAAATAAACATATATGCCAAATGATGTCTGGAATCAGACAACAAAAGGGAAAAAAATATCAACAAAAAAAAAGAATATATTAGCCAAAACAAAAATCATATAAGCCAACAATTAAAACATATAAACCAAACCAGTCACGCGAAAATTTGCGTGCGAACATCTGCATGCAATAGCTTCTCATGAAGAAAACACATGCTAGGGGATGAAATTTCATTACCACGAGGATTACAATGGTTATTTCCTTCATATGTTATACTTAAACTTATTTTCATTATCATCATTTATTATCGGCTAATAAGCGAATAATTACGATTTTGAGTATCAACCCTTAAGGATCAAGACATTAATCAATTAAACTAACTTATGAAAGTGAGGGATAGCTCAAGTTGTTAGATCTTTCCCCCCCCCCCCCTCTGCTTCAATACTCTAATCCTCTATGATTTGAACTGTAATAGTCACAAATCATTCAACAAAAATTGAGCAACTCAAGCATAAATCTTAATCAACAACAAGCAAAATTCAAAATTACAATCACAACACAAGGTACAACAATCCCATAATTATTTGTTCATTTCCCTACTTGTATAATTCCAAACATTATCTTGGTACAAATTAAATGTGTTAATGGTGTAATGGACCCCTATTAAAAAAAATTCACAAAATTCCAATCCCAAAATAATCAACAAGCAAAACCTCCACTAAAACTTTCCGCTTGTGGCAAAGATGTGCCACTATATGTGCTTAGCTAGTACCACACTATAATACACCGTATGTAAAATTATGAGGAAATTTAAGGTTCATTTTCATGGTACCTCCAAATTGACCATTTTAATGAGAAGTTTACATGTTTTTTTTATTACATGTTTGAGGATGAAATATGACCATGACAATTACAATATTTATTTCTACCTATCTACATTTAAACTTCATTCACATTATCATTATTTATTACCGATTAACAAATGAGTCATTATAGTTTTGAGTATCAACTTTCAAGACATTAACTAGCTAAAAACAACTCATCATCTCAAAGAATATTTTACTCTTTTAAAACTGAACAACTATAGTCACAAATCATCTAACAAATTTTTATCAGTCAAAATTGGGCAAATCAAATACTCCGTATTAATCTTAATCAACAACAATCAAAATTTAAAAGTACAAGCACGACACAAAATAAACAATCCCATAATTCTTACTTGTAAGATTCCAAACATAATTTTGGTACAAATTAAACGTGTAAATGGACCCCTATTCAAAAAAATTCACCACAAAAAAATTCACAAAATTCCAATCCCAAAATAATCAAGAAACAAAACCTCCACTAAAACTTTGCTTCAAAAAAAAAAAAAAAAAAAAAAAAAACCTCCACTAAAACTTCTTGCTTGCGGCAACGACACCTCCTCAACATTCTTCACCCAATCACAACTCTCTACAATCTCGACTCTCATCTATCTCTTCCTACGTGGCATCCTTTTGACCACCCTTTTTTTTTTTTTATTTTCCTTTTAAAATTAAAATTAAACAAATATTGTCTTCTTCTTCGTTTTTCCGAACTTCTTTCTGCAAAACTCTGCTCTCAACCTTTACTTCTCTTTCTCTCTCATCAAACTCCATGAAAATCGACATTGAAGCTTCATTCTAGAACCTTCACTTTCTCTCTCTACTGTATATTAATGGCGCTTTCTCTCTCCTTGACTTCTCATTCTGTATTCGAGCTTAGTTCGTTTAATCAGCGTACATTTCGCAGAATCAAACTTTATTCTTCATCTTCTAGAATTTGCAGTTCTCGAAACCCTAGTTTTCAGCGAATTCGTGCTGTGAGGGAGAATACGGTTCCGTCAACGGAGGAGAGAGAAATTCCGGTGATTAATGGAGTAGATAGCTTGAAATTGAACGGAAATGGTAATGGAAACGGAAATGGTTCGATTGAGAGTTATTTGAGTGGTAATGGCGGAGTGAAGGGGAGTGAGAATGGTGCTGTTAATGGAGGATTAGTTAAGTTTGTTGATGGTGATAATATGGCGGCGGTGAAGAGTGTGGTGGAGGAAGATTCTGGTGCTAAGGTGGAAGAAGTAGTGGCGGAGAAGACGAAGGCGAAAGCGATACCGGAGAAGAAGACGATGAAGGCGGAGAAGAAGACAATAGAGGATATTGGACAAGAGGAAGCTTGGTTTAAGCAAGGGGGTCGAGATCAATTAGAGGTAGTTCATCTTTGTTTTACATTTTAGTAATATTGAATTCTTTGTTGTGCTATTTATTGACAATTGCAGCTTATTGTATTTGTTATTGACTTATTGCAAATTGGTTTAGTGAATAATTTTGCTGGATTTAGAATTATGCTTTTGTATTGCTATTTTGGGAAGGTATTACTGTATTAGAAGTTTGTTGTGAGCAATGTATTACTTCCTCCGTCCCTCAATTACATTCCTAATTCTAGCATTTATTCCTCGCATAATAGAGAGGAGTAGGAATGTAATTTAGGGAAGGAGGGAGTACAATTTTGTTGGAGAGGTGAATAAACATGCATGAGGAAGTTTAACCGAATAACCATCACCAAGATTGGGGTCATTGGATTTGATTTCGGTTGTTTATCCCTTCAAATTAGGAAAACCCTACAATGGTTCTATGTATGATGAATATGAATAAGGTTCTAGAATAGTTCTGTATTGGAGATAGATTTATTGTTGCTTGAGTTGAAGTTTCTTCTATCAGTTTCACTTTGTCATGAATTCTGATGTGCAAATGGGCAATGCACACTGCATTTGAACTACATTGTCATTCTGGTTGTGTCCATTCGATTATAGCATCCTACATTGAAACCAACTTAAGTCAAACTTCTGATTTTGCTTCTGTCTCCTTTGTTATCTCAAAGTCGAAGTCAAGGAGGATGGGTTTTTATTATATTTATTGGAGAAGCCTTTTAACTCTAAAGTGCATAGTGGTGTAAATGTAAAATGCTTTCCATTTGGCTGATGGACACTCCATCCCACCTCACACTCTACTTGTGAGACTTGGACTTTTCGTTGTAAGCACATGTATTTTCCTGCTACCAACTTCTTTCTAGCTTGAGCATATTACTACCGCATGCCAACACCTTCGTAAGAGTTAGGGAAAATTCTTTGGGCTCCTTCCATGAACTCATGATTAGTGACCAAATTAACATTTCTATGGTTGCTACCAAGTATTAGACCTCCCTGCAATTTAGGAAACCTGTTCTAGCCATCAAAGCTAATAATAATGATGTGTTATATTGTTGATATTGTCTCTCTATCATTGAATATGAGAGTCTTTCATGTCCAAATCTGTACTAAAGTATATTGAGGTGATTGGAGGACAATGCTTCTCAATTACTTTGAAGTAAGTGACTTTTATGGAAGAGAGTGAGACTTCTAAGTATGAATAGTTAGTTATTCAGATATTCCTTCTGGCTCATCTCACCAAAATTTTATTGGGATACTCAGCCATGCCCCTTGTAATCAGAGAGATGGCTCTGCAGTCAAAGTTTCAAGAATCTATGTTAATCTTAAACCATTTATAAGGATTTAGTTGTATATTACCAGGAAGTTTGAATTGGAGCCTGCCTGAACAAGAGCATCTGCTGCACAGCATGGTAAACTGTAGGGTGAAGGCATGAAGTTGAGGATTACAGGAAATGATTTTTAATCATAGTAATCTCATCATGCAAATAAAGGTCCAATAGGAATATGTTTCTTTTTCCTTTAGTTGTACCCTTTCCATCCCATATATATCACCCCATTTTAAAGCGGGGTGAAGATCTAGAAATGTTGTTAATGTAGAATAAATTAATTGAAAGTGTATGGAGAAAGTGTTTTGCGCAAAGAGAAAAAGTTTGGTGCTTTTTGGAAGAGAAATTGATATAACATCTACAAAATTACTACATAAGTATGTGTCAAAACATTACTTCGGGACACTCTGAAAATGGAAAGTGGAGGCAGTAATATACTGTCAAGATACAAGACTGATATGCATTTGAGTGTTTAATTGCTTGTAACATGTTATTATGTCATATCATGTTTATATTATGACATTATAATGTAAACTTAGTTTCTTTGTGTAGGTTTCTGTTGCACCTGGAGGCCGCTGGAGCAGATTCAAAACATATTCAACGATACAAAGGACATTGGAAATTTGGGGATTTGTTCTGAAATTTGTCTTTAGAGTTTGGTTGAGCAATCAGAAGTTCTCTTATAAAGGTAAAAATGTAGGTGTTGAATCTTTGATTTGGGGCTCCATAAAGAGGTGAATATATATCTGTAACAGTAATGGGATGTGTGCTCATGTTTCATTTGATATGAAGTGTTTTATTATGAACTGTGATTCTCAACAAGGGGCTGACTTAATTTCTTTCATCATGGATCATCATACCTGTCATCTTGTCTGACTTTGGTTGGCAGATTTCTCCTATCAACCCATAATCTCCACTCTATTTCATTTTCTGACAAGTCACTAACTGACACCTGTCTTAGTTAAAGCGGCCATTATATTATGTTTAATGTATTATCTTATGGTAAACAGTGATGTTGGCCATTATATTATGTTTAAACAACGTTGTATCGTTCTTCCGTGCACTTTAGTTCTTTGGGATATTTTGGTAGATCATAGCAATTTATCTGTTCACCCTTAATGAAAAATCCTTTTTAGAAGTACATCATTGGTACATTAGTCCTGTTGTTCTGTGTTCTTTATTCTAAAGGATAAAACAAACTTCAACCTGATTTGCAGGAGGGATGACTGAAGAGAAGAAAAGGCTGAGGCGGATGACTCTTGCAAAATGGTTGAAGGAAAATATCTTGAGGCTTGGTCCAACATTTATCAAAATTGGGCAGCAGTTCTCCACAAGAGTGGATATACTTGCTCAAGAATACGTTGATCAGCTTTCAGAACTTCAGGTGATTCCCCTGGCCAAATTTGTGAAGGAAGCTCTTGATTTTTTACCCTCTTTTCTTTTTCTTTTTATTTTTTTAATCATGTCATAAACTTTATAATAACTAGGGCTAAGGCTCGCGATGTGCGCATATAGCCATATCCGAAGAGCTCTTTCGGTTTAGCCTTATGTTACAATTTTAGCTATTGGCAACATTAATAAAGGATAATAGGTAAACAAATATTTTTAAGGGTATAAATTTCCGCTCATTCTTTTTAAGAGTTTTAAAAAAGGCAATTAACATTAATGAGGGCAAAAAGTAAATAAACAGTTCAGACGGTATACATGTCTAAACACTATTATAAGTGTAATTTCAAATTTTTTAAAGGGAAGGGAAAAAGTAAAGAAACATTTTAGAGGGTATAATTGTCTAAACACTATTGCCTCAAAAAAAAATTTGTCTAAATACTATTAATAAGAATTATTTTGAACGTTTTAAAAGCTAGGGTATTAAGAGTTTAATAAAAAGACAATTAACATTAATGAGGGTAAAAAAGTAATTAAACATTTTAGAGGGTTTAATTGTCTAAACACTATTCATAAGAGTAATTTCAAACTTTTTAAAAGGTAGGGATTTGTTCAATAGGGACATGACAAGTTCGCTATGTCAGACTCCCATGTATGTTTCAAGAAAGGAAGGATACTGCTTAGTGCTTACTCTATTAGCGTCTTCATGTTCTGATGCATGGTCATGTGAAATTGCTGGTGGTAGAAATATGTAGATATCGGATTCTAGTGGCTTTCCTGTATTCACAGATCATTACATTTCGAATTATAGGTGTGCTTGGAAAGAATGGATATGAGAATAATCTTGATTTATTTATTTATTTATTTCCATGTATAGTTTCAAGTCCTTCAAGAATGAAACCATTAATTTGCAAGTAGTATTTTGGCAATTCATCCAAACCTGAGAATTCAACTACTTTTTAAAGCTTTGTTCTCCTCAGTTTATTTTGCTGAAAAAAAAAGCTTATCTTTGCTAAACTTAGCTTATATTATGCTACTTTATGTATTTACGGATTTTACGCTTATATTAATGCTTAACTTGTTTTGATTAAAAACAATACTTTTGCAAAAACTTATTTAAATAAGCCGAGGAGAACAAAGCCTAAGTTAGGGATAAAAAATGAAGAATATCCATCATTAGGCTACTGGTATCTTGTGTTTTTTGTACCTTTTGAAAATTAATCACCTCCACATCGAGTCTCTATCAATTACCAGTACAACTCTCTTAAAGATCTATTGAACATTGTCTACTTTGTTCTGAAGTAATACTCCGTCTGACCCTTCCTCTATTGATATGCAGGATCAAGTTCCTCCTTTTCCATCAGAGACAGCTGTATCTATTGTTGAAGAGGAGCTTGAAGGTCCCTTAAGTGATACCTTTGAGCGCTTTGATTTTGAGCCCATAGCAGCTGCAAGTCTTGGTAATTGTTAGATCTCTTTGTATCCTCTTCACTGGTTGAACAAAAATAAAGTAAAATAATGTGATGCACTTGGTTTTGCAGGTCAGGTCCATCGAGCAAGACTTAAAGGACAGGACGTAGTTGTTAAAGTGCAGCGGCCTGGGCTCAAGGATCTCTTTGATATTGATCTCAAAAATCTAAGGGTTGGTGTTTAATTAGGTTTCTTTCTTCTTGATGTACATTTTTATTCTTACTAGCTCTTAGTGTGACATCAGCATCCTCAAACCAAATTTCATGAAGCACCAGTTATGAGGGTGTTCCTAGGATAATCAAGAATGAGGTCTACATACTGCATAGCATACATACAACCTGTACCACCTGGTAGCTAAAAAATTATCTTTGTTTTGTAGTATGAATATATTTTTCTAATCTTCTACTGTACTTTTATATCCCCCCCATGCTACAACGTTTGCAATATGTTTCTGACAGGGCATGCTGGCTCTATTGAACTAGTCTAGAATCTTAAATAAAAGTACTGTTGAAATGCCTAATGCCTTTAGATTTAAATAAAATGCAAGTTAACAAGATAATAGAAGACCCCTTCGTGAAATAAACACCTAATCCAAATGGCAATGGAATTGTATGCACGAGTTATTTTAAGTTTTATGGCCTTTTACCATTATGTACTAGTGGATACTTAAAATGATACACACGGGCCACCGTAATATAGGTATCAAACAACAAATTTCTAAAAAGTACAAATGTGAAAAGGTCAAAAACAATTTGGGATATTAAGTGGACTGATAGACATGGGATGGAATGTACAGTATACACTTGGACTGGTGTCATGGGTTTAATGTGGTTGAAGAATAAATACATATTAATGCTTCCTGGTTTTGATCCCCCCCCCCCCCCCTTCATTATTGAAGCTGCCAGGCTGGTTAAACAATGTATGATCGACCAATGTGGGCCTTGTGAAAATTGTCTTTCTCCATTTGTGTTGATAACTTCTAAGGTTTACATTATCACTTTCTGAGCGTACATGTAGGAGGCTTGACAATAATTTTTTTTTTTTTACTTGTTTTGCTAGGTAATTGCTGAATATCTTCAGAAGCTTGACCCAAAATCGGATGGTGCAAAGAGAGATTGGGTGGCAATTTATGACGAGTGTGCTAGTGTATTGTACCAGGTTTAAATCTGGACTTACAAATTCATGACCCTTAGTGTTTGGCAAAATTCTATGGCATTTATGTTGAATGCTACAGAGTGCTGTATGCATATATGAATTTCGTGATTCACTTTGGTATTTGGCACATATTTGTATTTGATGTAATTTGTTGACTAGATGTGAGATATTTCAGGAAATTGACTACACCAAGGAAGCAGCTAATGCAGAACTATTTGCTAGCAATTTCAAAAACATGAGTTATGTCAAGGTTCCTTCAATTTACTGGGAATACACTACCCCGCAGGTTTGGCTGTGCTGTGTTCTTAAAATATTAGGAGAGCAAGCATATTGTGGTTCACTCTGATTTCATCTGAAGAAATTTTGGTTGGTTGTAGATTTTAACCATGGAGTATGTCCCGGGGATCAAGATAAATAGAATTCAAGCTTTAGATCAGTTGGGAGTTGATCGCAAAAGGTAAGAGTATAATTTATATTTTTATAATGCCATTGAATGGTATTAAGTCAAAATAATTATCTCAAAGCACCTCTTGGAAAATGGGTGTTCCATGAAATGATGCTTACTGCTAGAGAACTCAATTGCTTTTCCACAGATGTTATCATTATTGATTTTTGGTCTTTCAGGTTAGGTCGGTATGCTGTGGAATCTTATCTGGAACAAATACTTTCTCATGGCTTTTTCCATGCTGACCCAGTGAGTATTTTAATTTGTTTCTCTTTTCCTACACACACACAAACAAAAAAAAAAAAAAAAAAAAAAAAAAAAACAAAACCAAAAAAAAATTCTATTTTTATTCAATGATAAAATTAAGTTACAAGTCTGAAGTTATTGTGTTCAGAACTTTTGACAAGGACTGCAGTGATTATCTTAGCAAAATAAACAATCTTTAACAGTAATGTCTAGAAAATAAAACAATGAAAATATATTTACATTTTCTGTTGAGTGTTTCAGAGTTCTCCCCCGTTATTCTATGCTTTGAAGGAATAATGGCTGAAACTTGGCTGTATTAATGCTTCTAAGATATTTATCGTTGTTACACTTCAAATTTGCTTTTTAGTTGAAGACTTTAAGTGCTTTCTCTTTTTCTTGGCAGCACCCTGGAAATATTGCTGTTGATGATGTGAATGGTGGAAGGCTGATATTTTATGACTTTGGAATGATGGGAAGGTAAATTTCTGAGAATACATTATTCATCTACCTCTGAAATTGTGTTCATGCTTAACAAAAAATTATTATTGCACCTTGCAGTATCAGTTCAAACATTAGGGAGGGCTTGCTCGAGGCATTTTATGGAGTCTATGAGAAGGACCCAGACAAGGTTTTTTTTTTAAAAATAAATCATGTTTGTTGAGATTTATACCCAAACAGCCAATGATCATGCTTAGTTAGTTACCATCTTAATATGTTAATTTATTTAATATACCTTGTTTGCAGGTTCTACAATCTATGATTCAAATGGGTGTTCTAGTTCCTACTGGTGATATGACTGCTGTGAGACGAACAGCGAAATTCTTCCTTGATAGGTAACTATAAAAAATTTATATACACCCGGGTGCAAGATGCACCCAAGGTTATTTTTGCTCTTTTGATAATCAAATGAACAATAACCATCCTTTAATTATCATAATATACTCGTTTTAATTGGAGATTGTATCCAGCTTTTATTGGACCATGATACCCATTTTTAACATTATGTACTTGACGTTGAATTGGACTTTTAGTTCTGTATGAGATTACATTGCTGCTTTGTATGATCTAAAGACTAAGAATTTTATGCGTTATACCCAATTAGGAAGTTATTGTCTTGCTGGCTAGTGTTATTGTGTAAAAAGTTAGTGTTCTTTTATTGGCAAACCCGATTTACTACCTTACCCCACAGTATATAGTCATATACACATATTTTTCACTCTTACACCCACCCTCCTCTTTTTTTAATTTTTAACATTCAATCATAGTGACCGAGTTTCATTTATGTAGTTTCGAGGAACGTTTGGCGGCCCAAAGGAAAGAGAAGGAAATGGCAGCAGCGGAACTTGGATTTAAAAAGCCATTAACTAAGGAGGAAAAACTTCAAAAGAAAAAGCAAAGGCTAGCTGCAATTGGTAAAATTAATTCCAATAACACTATCTCAATTGACCATACAACTACACATTATTTTTCCTATCTCTGGTTTTGAGTTTTGGCATATGCAGACTTGCTCTGCTGCAAGTTAAAATGTGACAAATCTGACAATGTCCGTGCCCACCGCCCCTCATTAGTCTTTACTCGAGTGCAGAAATGTTATTTTCTGAATTAAAATCCATTACTATATATAGAAAGGTGACATCTTTTTCTAGGAGTCCTGTAATAGTACATGCAAGTATGTGACTATTTTTTGGATGGAGTATTATTTTCATCCTTGTTATTTTTCTTTTTTTCACACCATAAGTTTGAGAACCAGGATGAACCATCTAGCCGAAGAAGCTCTTTAAAATTTGTCCTTAGCTATTACTGAATGAGTCCTAGACTGTTGGGCGTTAACTAACGTGGGGCATAACTTTTCAGGGGAAGATTTATTGTCAATCTCTGCAGACCAACCTTTCAGATTTCCTGCTACATTCACGTTTGTTGTTCGAGCATTCTCTGGTATTTGACTTAAATTCTTTTCTCATTATTTGACCAAATCTGAAAGGTATTTGACCAAATAACTGAACCAAAATAACTGAAATCCTTGTACTTCATTTCTTGAATTGCAGTTTTAGATGGAATTGGGAAAGGGCTTGACCCTCGATTTGATATTACTGAGATAGCCAAACCGTAAGTTTAAATTCAAATTTTATGAGCTATCTTTTTTTTAAGAAATTTTTCTTGGGAAAAAAATTTGTTTGTCAATTGCTTATTCACATCTTTGCCTTGCAGCTATGCTCTAGAACTGCTCAAATTCCGTGAAGCTGGTGTTGAAGTTCTTGTGAAGGTAAATTTATTTATTACTTCGTATTTTTGCATCGACCAAACTGCGCTTACTGTTGTTGACTCTCAATATATATTTCGAATTTGTCTAGGATTTCCGAAAGAGATGGGACCGGCAGTCTCAAGCATTCTACAACTTGTTTAGGCAGGCAGATAGAGTTGAGAAGCTGGCTGAGATTATTGAACGACTGGTAGTTACCTCATTGAACTTTGAAACGATAGACGTACTTGCATTATATTAGACGTGGTTTCATGGTGGCTTTCTATTCTTCACCTCTGACATGGCCTTGTATTTATAATAGGAAAAGGGAGACTTGAAGCTTCGTGTTCGAGCTCTGGAGTCTGAGAGATCTTTCCAGCGTGTAGCAGCTGTTCAGAAGACAATAGGAAGTGTATGTCATCTGGCTTAATACTTATTTTTGGCATAGTTAGAAATTCTAATGGCCTAAAGAGGGGGGGGGGGGGGAGTAAATAAAGTACAAACGCTATATATGCAGTTAGATAAGCCCCCACCCCACAAGTTCTCTCTCTGCTCTTGGCAAACAAATGAAAACTCTAAGATTAGTGTGACATAATTCATTCATGGAAAATGTCTAGACTTTTCTTTCTTGAACATTGTTTCCAATTCTGGAGATATATTACATATATACAGCAATTTGTTTGGTGAAACTGTGAAAGAACTTGTTGGTTCTTTAACAAACTTGTTTGAACTGTTAGATGTTGATTGAGCCACAAAAAAAAGATTTGGTGTTGGAATTAAAACTTACGTATCTTTCATGCTGGTAACTTGTTTCTAAATTAATTAAGTTGAATTGTTCTGTTCTACCTGGTATCACAGAGATAATTATAGATCATTATTATTTAATTTGATGAATTTAACAGGCTGTGGTTGCTGGAACCTTGGTGAATCTCGCCACAATTTTGTATCTCCACTCAATTCGAGTAAGTGAATATTTTGTTCTTTCTGTGCATAGCGCAGTTACATATATTGATATATATATATATATATATATATATAGTTATAAATTAATCATATAAATTTGTGTCCGTTATAGGTGCCCGCCATTGCTGCTTATACTGTGTGTGCACTTTTCGGCTTTCAAGCTTTATTTGGTGTACTTAAAGTCAAAAAATTGGACCAAAGAGAGAGACTGATTACTGGAACTGCTTGAACGATGGGTAAGTGACATAATTTCCATTTTGGTCTCTGGGTCTCTCTGTCGTATCTATTTTTAAGTCAGCAGAACCAGGCTACGAATCTACGATGGCAGAATTATTTTTTTTTTATACCAAATTACCAATTGCATGCTGTAGCAACATTTGAGGAGATAATCAGTATAATAGCCAATAGATTTTAAAGGGAATTGCGTGCATTATTATGTACTTTTGGTACCTTATAACAGTGCCTATGTTGAATTTGCAAGAGCCAATGCTGCCAAAATCCTTGATGATGCTCTTCAGTATCATGAACTTTATCTTCTGTGAACACGAAACTTCAATTTTGGGACTATATCTCACCATCATGGCCATGCTTTTGGTAGTTTAAGAAGCTCCTACTGGTCTAGAAGTCCCTTGTTTGGTTTCACTTAATTAGCAATTTATATTTGTAAAATTACTTCATAAACTGAACTCTTGGCATTTCTTATCTTTGATACACATTTGCAAGTCTGTTTCATTCAGGGAGTTATGTTTGATCTTTAGTCCTACACCATGTTACAGTCCTACCTTTTTATTCATCAAGTGTAGGCTGACAACATCTTTCAAACATTTTGTAGGTTGTGGTTATGCACATATACACCGACCCACATCAAAACCATATTTAACCACATTATCGGATTCAGCTTCCAATTGGCCTTGATGGCCAAAATCAGCCTTCTGAATAGCAAAGCTGTTGTCAAGGGTGCTGATTCTACAATATAACACTTTTTAAAGGAGTTACTGTGTGCTTTCTCGAATGGTTCATATAAAACAGATCAGACATGCTTACTGTCCAACTACAGCATTGCGCCATTTTGACAGGTATATAGCAAGCAGGTCATCATATCCATTGTCAGATTGGTCTCTGAAGGAACCTCCAAGTCCAGCTTTGAAGGATGGTTCTGGTAAATTTTAATCTAAATTTTGAAGCATTTGTAAAAGTGAAAAATAAAGGGTTGTAGTTTTATATACATCACGCTTGCATTCCCACATGCTCTACCAGGTTAGTTAGACCAGAAAATTTTTGCCCCCTTTAGTGGTCAAAGTATATATTGTATAAATTCATATTGTGAAATTATGTACGAGTACTAGCTAATGTACACTAACTGTAAAGTAGAGAGGGTACTTCATTCTTGAGTTCGCGGCAAATGATATACTGTAATATACCAATGTTGTTTGAGTTTGGCTTGCAGAACTCCTGCTGTTGTTCATATAGCCTCTGTACGCTGTTAGGTGGAATATCTTGTAATTAAATATGAATATAATTGAGGTTGGATTAGCTATATGAATTCATGGTAAGTAAAACTGCTGTCTTTTATCCATCACCTTTGCTCAATTCATTTTATACTGTTATTTCCTGTCTTTTCGGTGATTGAATCGCTGTAATTTTGCTTCCTCGTGCTCCGCTTCGAGATCAGAGCTAAGCTTTCCAGCTTCTTGATACCCTTATATGCCTGTCTTTTGTTTCTTGTCCTCTTTGTTAATACTTTACCTGAAAGTACCAAGGAGAATGGCATAAATCTTTATTTATTCTTCTCTAGTTGTACATTGTATGTTCAGCTTACCTATTATTGGTTTCATTATTCTATATAATTGCTTACTAATCTACACAAACATCCATGCTATTGCCTATTAGCTTCCCCAAGCCCAAAAAATTTAAATTATAATTGGAATTATCAAGTAAATTCCATATAATGCATGTACCTTTACCACTTTTAAATATAATATTCCGAATGGAGTTATATCTTAATCATTTTTCCTAGGTTATTCTCTTTTAATTATTTTTGGAAGAAATTCTATTGAATTGTACTTATTCATATGATACTTGTTTAGAAAAATTTGGTGTTCTTTATAACAGCATTTTAATTTGCTTCAACATTAACAGGGAAGTTTCCCAGATTAAGTTAAATCCAAAAATCCACATTCAAACAGTTGTCGCATTTTATACTCTTTGACCAAACCAATCAAATTGCAGTGATTTAAGGCGAATCAGGTAAGCTGTTCGTCATTATAATAATCACCTCCATTTTCCATTACTTGTACATGAAATAGCATATTTGATGTGGATTTTCTGCGTTACATGTTATTTGTCCATCATGCTACTACAATTATTGTATACCAAATTGGCTGGGAGACCATTAGTCGCGTTTATGTACCAAAATTGTATTAGAGGTACATGAAGGGCAAATAAATTATTACTCCCTTCCTCTCTCTAGAAGTAATAGTCACGTAACATGGGCATGGTTTATGTTGGATTTGATTAGCTCACAATGTGTCAACCAGAACTCTACAAGGTATAAGGCGTATAATCAGTCTTTTCTGCATCTTTCAAAAGGTTCATAAAGAGTTTTCAAATATATTAAATTCCTAGTGGTAATTTGAGTAATTTTTTGTCTTACAAGGTATTAGACTTAGTATAATGTGAGTATGTGACTAGAATTTTCAGACGGAAATAAGGGCCTGTTCTGATTGACCGAACTGAACTTATTAGAGCTGAACTAAACTTATTAGAGCTGCACTAAACTGAAATAAGGTATAAGACTTATGCCAACTCTTGCTTGTGCTCTAAACCTGCTCCCTCTCTCTTAACAATGAAGAAGAAATATGTGATTCAGTGGAAGGCATGCTGTATGTGCAATGGGGAAACAAATCATTTAACAAGCAGATTAATTGTGTGTTTAATATCATCATTAGTGAGTTCCTATACTTAGGTAAATATTTGGTATTATAATTAAAATACATCAAGCAAAAAGTTATATCACAATAATCAAGTAGAACATCACTTACAGCAATTGGATTTATTTTTTTAAAAGGTGTTCTTGATATTCTTATAGAAGTTCATCCTTTCCAGGTAAAAAGTTTATTATAGTCAGCTCTACTTTTTTTTTTTCATTTTTTTTTTGGGCCTTATTAATTAAACTAATGAATACTTTTGAAATTAAACTAGACTGTAGAGTGTAGACAAATATACCAAGAAAAAAATACAAGTACATCATAAATCCTAAAAGCAACAGTTGCATTTCTCTTTTCTAAACAAGGGGCCTAGAATATTGAGTGTATTGAAGAGGAATAAACTACACTGAGATGCAAGCCGTAGTAGTATGAGAACCCTCAATTGTTCGTGAGGTTAGGGGTTCGAAATCAGAAAGAAGCATAAAAATTAATTAATTAAGGCAAAAATTGAGTGTAAATGTAATCTTCATGCTCAAAAACACCATCATCTTGTTGCCCATTTTCTTTCCTCTCAATGCTTACCTTGCCATGCTCATCTTTGCCCTACATCAATTGATAAAACATCATGTGAATGTGAGCGCGTACGTGTAAGAGTAGAGAGGAGATGAAGCATCAACTTACCATAGTAATAGAACCATTATTGGATAGCATGAACTCTTTTGTCTCTAATCCTTGTTTTGATTGACTTAGTGAAAGAAAATACATAATCAGCAAAAACAAGAGAAAAACACTCATTGCCTTCATTTTTTTTTTCTTAGGAATAGTGTAAATATTATAGATGTAGAAAGTACAAGACAAAGCAAACTTTGAGGAAGCTTAATTTGAAATACCATTTTCATTATATAATATGGTCAGTAGACCCTGTTCTGATACGTTTATTTCAGTTCAGTTCAATTCAGTTCAGCTTCTAATTTCCTTCTCTTGTAAAATATTCAGTTCAGTTCAGCTCTAATCAATTCAGTTCGGTTCAGTTCAGTTTAATTCAATTCAGCTCTAATCAGTTCAGCTCAGCTCAGCTCAATTCAGTCAATGAGAACAGGCCCGTAGTTAATTTTGTTTAATATTTTATGTCAATAATAAGCTTAATGTATAAGTATATAGTAGTAGATTGGAAGCCTTGCTGTTTATGAATGGTTCCTAGATTCCACTGCATGAAGCTCGAGCGTCAAGAATTGGGTTGGTTTCTTTCTTCTAAATTATTAGAGGTAATGGAAAAAAGAGAGGAGATTCGAAGTTCCCAAGGTTTTTCATGCGATGTTGAATGCTATTGGTTTAGAGCCTTAGAAGATGATTATGTTAATTTGAATTGAGAATGCATTGTAAATCACAATGGCTGTGGTCAGCACACAGCAGCAACCTCAATCTTAATCTTGGTTAATTTATAGATTCTTAGTTGTTTTGGTTACATTTAGTGTTGTTTGAGATAAAAAAAAAATTATCCGATAAGCAAAACAGCCTAAATGAATAACAAATATTATTGGAAATACGTAGTTGTAGAAATATCATTAGGAGCTGAATTGAACTGAAAATAATCGTATGAGAATAAGCCCTAGAACTATAAGCTGACTTTGTGATGAGTTTGAATAAGTCAATAAGGTATAGGTGTGAGTCTAATGTGTTCAGACCCTACTCTTACCTTAACACTTACCTCTCAAAGTTGCTTGTGAGTTTTTTTTTTCTTAGACACATTTCAAAATTGCGAGTATAATTAAATCTACTTATAACTTATATAATAGGTATCCAAAAAAAAAAATACTTATTATTATATGTATGCATTATGTGCATCATATTTTAAATTGTAAAATCATGAGTTGATTTTTATATATTTATTTATTTGGTGGTAAGGAGAAAGGGGGTTCATTTGAGAGGGGGGAGGGACATAAGGGAAATCCCTCAAATGAGTCCCATGAGGCTTGCTTGATCCCTAGACCTTAGGGATATGAGGTGGGAGCGATGTCATTACTTCATCACATCAACCTCAAAATTATGAGTTGATTGAGTTCATGACTATTCCCAAAAGATGAGGCTGACTATTATACTTAGCTCCTTATACTAGCTCCTTATCAATGTCGTATTACTCGTGTATCATTATTTTTATACATTACGTATAAAAGATGACAACGAGATGAGAAAAATAATAATCTAATGTGTATCGACTATAAATCCAATCATCCATACCTTAGTAGACCAAATAATCTTCGTAAAGGTCATAAGGAGTATCATTTTAGTTCCTAAAGAGATGAATATGGTATATAGGTTACCTAATAATACTTCGTACTAGTAATAATAATTAGGATTTGTGAATTATGAAAATTGAGATTTCTTACCATTGTCTTTCCTAATGATAAACGGGTCTGAGCCACACCCGTCATAATCGTCCACTTTATACGACCAAGGAGTATCCACCTTAAAACCATATGGCAATAAGGGGAGTAGCCCCTTAGCCTTATAAAGTGGATACAACTTTCTTATTTCTGTAATGTGGGATACTCTTTCACATACAAGCTCTTACTTATGAACTAAATCAATGTGGGACAACACACCACTCACATGTGGATTTTTTTATGGGCTTAACACCTAACTTAATGTACATTTAAGATCATAATGAACATGATATATACATGGGTACTTTAGTCTACCTCTTATCATCTTATAATGTGTCCATTTTCTAGTAGCATTGAAAAAAAAAAGGCTCAATACTTATAAGTAAACATTAGCTCTATTGATGCCAAAAACTTAAGCTTATGCTAGCTTGGACTTGGCTCATTGCGACCATGTCAAACTTTTATTAGGCCGAACTATGAGTAGGTTTGGCTCATTAAGTATTCTCTGACCTACTTAAACATATTGCTTGAAAAAAAAAAGATACTCAAATAAACAAGTAATGCTACTACATTTGGACTAAGGGCCTATTCTCATTGACCGAACTCACCTAAACTGAATTGAACTGAGCTGAACTGAATATTTTATAAGAGAAGGAAATTAGGAGCTGAACTGAACTGAACTGAGTTGAACTGAATTTCAACGTAAGAGAACAGACCCTAAGTTGATTCGATTTAATCATTTTAGAAATAAATAAATATGTTAAATAGGTTGAACTAAATACCCTTTTTTGGTCCCAAAAAAAAAAAAAAAAAAAAAAAAAAACCTTATTTACAACTTTCATTTTCCCCACCTCAAAGGTTTTAAATTTTCAAATCAAATGTTGGACAATGACTCAATCTAGAGATTCTACTATGCAATTGTTTCTTTAAAAGTATTACTGAAAATTTGAAATATGCCAAGGTTATAATAAAATAAATCCATCTTTCAAAAAAAAAAAAAAAAGGAATCCAAATCATACATCTCACATTATATATATTGACTACATTTCCAAAAAAATAAAAAAAATGACTACAGTAGTATAATTTACACCTAAATTGACAAGTAGCAATCTTATAATTTTTTTGACACAATATAAAAATAGTGCCTTTTAATATCCCTAAATATTCATACTTTTTTTTTCCTCTCTATTATTTATTTTTAAATTTTTTTTCGCAAAAAGGATTAAATATCAATGTAGACAATAATGTATTAATGTTGACAATGACAATCCTTCAATAAAAATGTTGATATTGATAGAGACAAATACACAAATGTCAAATTGTCTGAAAATTCTGAATTTAGTAAAGAATTGAAAACCACCAAAAACGTAGAAAAACACCATAAAAAATAAAATTATAAAATCCAATTTAAGTTTAAAATTTTTACTTACAAAATTACAATTAAAATTAAAATAATTTTTTTTAAAATAAAATTAATTAAATCACCCCCATTGACATCTCATGCCAATTTTGAGCACATTCAGCGGCACCCCTCCTCCACTCATCTTCTTACAACACATCATTTCTAGAGAGAGAAACTCCACCTTCTTTCTTAGACAGAGAAACTCACCTTTTTCTAGAGAGAGAATAATTTTAGAGAGAGAAAGTGTGTTCTGTTGTGTAGTGTGTTTTTTTACAGAGTGTAGCAACCTCACTCCAACCCATCCTTCTTCTCTCACTACAATCCGCCATTTTTATACCTTCATTCATTTTCTCTCTCCTCCCATTTCTCCATTTTTATCACCCCCTTTTTCTTCAATTCGACGCGCAAAAACCCTAATTTCTCTCTCCTCAAAAAACCCCTCAAAAGTTTCCCCTTTTTCTCTCTCCCCTTTTTCAATTCAATTCAACCCCATTATCATTATCATCATAATTTAAGCATTTTTACCCAAATTATGCTTTCCCCATTTTTTCCCACCTTCTTCTTCCCAATGTACAGTCACTCTTCAATCTAGCTCCAATTTTCTCTCTCCTAGGGTTTTAATTTCAGTAATTTAACGATGTTTTTCAGTAGTAGGAGTAGTAATAGAAGTAGTATTAACAATGGCGGGTTAATTTTCCCCATTTTCTCTCTCCTAATTTTGATTATTATCACTCCATCTTTGGTTTTCTGCAACTCTGATGAAGTTCGAGCTCTGTTAGAGTTCAAAAAGGGGATCCATGAAGATCCACTTGGGAAAGTCATTCCGACATGGAATGCGACTGCTGTTGTGACTGCTTCAGATCTCGATTCTTGCCCTACCTCCTTTCATGGCGTCGTTTGCGACGATGCGTCGAACTCAGTCGTCGCCATTTCTCTTGATGGTTTGAATCTCAGTGGTGAGTTGAAGTTCAGTACCTTAATTGGGCTAAAAATGCTGCAAAACCTAAATCTTAGGGGAAATAATTTTACTGGTAGATTAGTTCCTCAATTGGGTTCAATGAATAATTTGCAGATTTTAGATCTGTCTGATAATTGGTTTATTGGTCGGATCCCAGAAAGAATTCATGATTTATGGAACTTACAACACTTGAATTTGTCGAATAATCAGTTTTCTGGGGGTTATCCTATCGGAATTCGGAACTTACAACAACTTAGGGTTTTGGATGTGCATGCAAATGAGCTTTGGGGTGATATTGGTGTGTTTTTTTCTGAGCTTAGGAATGTGGAGTTTGTTGATTTGAGTATGAACAGGTTTTCCGGTGGACTTCCGGTTGATTCTTCGAATGTTTCGAGTTTAGGGAACACGATTCGACATATGAACTTAAGTAGTAATCTGTTGGGTGGCAAGTTCTTGACGGCTGATACATTGTCATTGTTTCAGAGCTTGGTGGTTTTGGATTTGGGGGATAATATGATTGGGGGAGAACTTCCGTCTTTCGGGTCGTTGTATAATTTGAGGGTTTTACGACTTCGAAACAATCAGTTGTATGGAGAGGTACCTGGAGAGTTGCTTGCTACTTTGATTCAATTGAAGGAATTGGATCTTAGTGGAAATGGGTTTTCGGGTAAGTGTTTTTGAGTCCATTTGTTTTGCTATCAAATTATTGTTTTATGGATTGTTTATAAGTTTTTTGCAATATATAGAAATTTGATTATGGCATTGAAAGTAGAGTTATTCGTTTGTGCTTCAATTTACTTAATATTACTCTAATCCAATATAGCTTTGAACTATCTTTTCTAGTAGTAGCTAAAATTCAAGTGGTTTCATTTGCATGCAAGTGAATGTAGTGAAGGATCTGGGGTGTGAAGTTTGATGAGTTTTTAATTTGCCACCCTACTTGGTTCAACTAGTGTGTTTCGTGCCGTGTATTGGAATATGCTAGTGTGTTGCCTATATTTGTTATGATGAGATGGAAAAGTAGTATAATTTCAGTCGTTGTCAAGGATGTGGAATGCATTAGCACCTAGATCCGCATTGGAGATTTTTTGTCAAGGAATTATGAGCCTTCATAATTTTAGAACATGCAAAATGAAGATGTGCTTGTGCCTCTCTGTTTCTTTCTTATACGTGTTCCTATTTCCTAGTAGTCTTGGTATTGTTTCACTTCCTATCATTTGTTCGTTGAAAATGGTAGTCTGAAGAATAGTTTTTTAAGGAAATTAGAATTGGCAGAATTCTTGGAGTGTCAGCTCTTTCCATGTTTTCACTGCTCTGAAATTTGGTTGAGGTGCTAAGACTGTTAACCTCATTCCTTTCTCTTTTAAGGGCTCTTAGAAATTGAGCTGTATGATTAATTTAATGCCTCGTTCCAAACTAAGCTGTATGATTAATTTAATTGATAGCATATGCTAGTGATTTTAAAATCCTGAAAGATGGTGGACATTTTATTTTTTATCTTTCCTTAAATTGGCAGAATTTTTACATAGTAACTACAGATTTTCCTTAAGCTACTTGCTTACTATGTATAGTCATTTTATTTATTTCATTAATTCGAAATTACAATTTGTGATTATTTGATATACAGTTGAGCTCAACTCTTGTATTGTACAATAATGTGATGTGCTAGTATGCTACATATGACTTGAGTCGACATTATGAATCACTTCAAGAAATTCCCTTTGCTGTTCTGTAACTAAATCATGTGTTATGCATGGCCTCTGGATTCTTTCTTATCATATGAGTCTCTGAAATGCCTAGTTTGCCTGCTAACAGGCTCTATTCGTGGCATCAACTCAACAACATTGGAGATACTTGATCTTAGCTCAAACAGGCTGTCTGGTAGCTTCCCAGAGTTCAGTTCTCAATCAGGTTTGACTACTTTGAGAATCAGTAACAACTCCTTAGAAGGCAGCTTGCCCTCTGAATGGCGTCAATTTGCAAAATTATCTAAGATTGACCTGAGCATCAACAACTTGGCAGGGCGAATCCCATCTGCTTTATTTTCATTGAACTTGAGAGACTTAAATCTTTCTAAAAACCATTTCAATGGAGCAATCCCCTTCCCAGAATCTACTACTGTTGGTGAATTTCTGGCTCAGCCTGTTTTTGCACCATTGGAGTCCTTAGATCTTTCTGACAATTCATTAGTAGGCGATCTATCCAAAGATATAGGACTCTTGGGTAGGCTGAGATCACTGAATCTTGCAAAAAATAGCTTATCAGGACATATACCTAATTCATTAGTCAATATAGATGGGTTGGAATCCCTTGATCTGTCAAACAATCAATTCAAGGGTCACTTGCCTGGTAAGCTTCCTCCAAATCTTAAATTATTAAATGTGACCTATAATGATCTGTCCGGTACAGTCCCTGAAAGCTTAAGAGCATTTCCACCAAGTTCCTTTCATCCTGGAAATGAGAAGCTATATATCCCAGGTGATGAAGGATCACCAGGTGGTGGTTCAAATTATGTATATGGAAAGAATGGGCATCGTGGCTCAAAGTCTAGTATCAAGATTGCTATTATTCTAGCCTCAGTGGGGGCTGCTCTCATGATTGCATTTGTTGCACTAGCCTATTATCGTTCTCAGCATCATGGGAGTAGCAAATACAATGGGGCAACAACTGGAAGAGATGTTAAAGTTGGAAGATTTACTCGGCCTTCACTTTTTAAATTTAATGCCGGCCCTGAGCCTTCAGATACATCATTGAGTTTTTCTAATACTCATTTACTTCCCTCAAATTCAAGAACATTGTCTGGGCAGGCTGAACTTGTGCCAGAGTTTGCTGATCGTGCAGCAGCTGCATCTAGTACTTCCTATGTGAAGCCCAATCTCCCTGACAATCCTATGGTGACATCAGCACGGAAGTCTCCCCCAGGCTCTCCACATTCGTCTTCACCTCGTTTCTTTGAGACATTTGAACAACCTGTAACATTGGATGTCTACTCACCTGATCGGTTTGCTGGAGAGCTGTATTTCCTCGATACATCACTTGCATTTACAGCTGAGCAGTTATCTCGAGCCCCAGCTGAAGTTCTTGGTCGAAGTAGTCATGGTACGTTATACAAGGCCACACTGAATGGTGGACACATGTTAACAGTGAAGTGGTTGAGGGTAGGATTGGTGAAAAATAAGAAAGAATTTGCCAAGGAAGTCAAAAAAATTGGTTTGATGAGGCATCCTAATATAGCTCCTGTACGAGCTTATTACTGGGGACCCAGAGAACAGGAGAGACTTATTTTATCAGATTATATCAATGGGGATAGCCTGGCACTTCATCTGTATGGTAAGGACTTAGAACTTATATACTTGATTTTATAGCCTGAGCATGCTTGAACTTGATGTGCCCATGTTGCCATGTTAGTTTTAGTTTCAGCATTGCGCATTATAGGTTCCTTCATTATTTGCACAATATTATACGTTTATTATTTGTACGTCAAAAGTTCCTTTATTTTTTCTAGTCTGGTTCATAAGTTCATTGTAGATGATTTCTGTTCTGAATAGTAGTGAAATTATCATGTAGGAGAATTATTTACTCTATTACGCATAAAAAATCCCTTGTTCTCCTTCTTTGTCATTTCGCATGTGAGTCATTTTGATTAAATTGTTGATATTATTACTTTTTAGAGATTGGTTAGGGTGGTCTAGTGTATTGATATTTTACTATCAAGGTTTTTCTCCACTTTGTTTGTCATATTCTTTCTTCCTTCTTGTTATCTCCCTATAACTTTTATTTGTCCTATGCAGAATCAACACCGCGAAGATATTCTCTTTTGTCATTCACTCAAAGGTTGAAAGTTGCTGTTGACGTTGCACGCTGCCTTGTCTATCTTCATGATAGAGGCATGCCTCACGGAAACCTAAAGCCAACAAACGTAATCTTAGCAGGGCCTGATCTCAGTGCATGGGTGACTGATTATGGCTTACATCGCTTAATGATGCCTGCTGGAGTCGCTGAGCAGATTTTGAATCTTGGGGCACTGGGTTATTGTGCTCCTGAACTTTCCAATGCCTCCAAGCCAATGCCCTCATTGAAAGCCGATGTGTATGCATTTGGAGTGATTGTTATGGAAATTTTGACGAGAAGAAGTGCAGGTGACATCATATCAGGGCAATCAGGTGCTGTTGACCTCACAGATTGGGTTCGGCTCTGCGATCAAGAAGGACGGCGCGGTGATTGTATAGATCGCGACATTGCAGGGGGAAGTGAACCCTCGCAAGCAATGGACGATATGCTCGTTATATCCCTTAGGTGTATTCTTCCTGTAAATGAGCGACCTAACATTCGACAAGTCTATGAAGATCTCTGTTCAATAGCTGGTTGAAAAATCTCTGTACATGGTTTCCCAGTAGCCTCTTACCACAGACTTCCTTTTTTGGGTTAGTTTTATTCTTCCCCCAGCCCCTTTGGTAGTCTTCTCACTTCTGCAATCGGTTTCGGAAGGCTTGAATGTGGGGTGATTGATCTCATTCTTTATTTCAAATTTTTTCTTGTGTAAAGTTACGATTGATCCCATTGTTTGATTGACACATTTTTGAGTTTGATGAAGATGGTGCACTGAAAGCTGGCTGCAATTTTTTTGGGTGCCTTCTTTCACCATCCCTTGCTTAATTTAATGGTTACTAATGTCTTTATTCACATTTCTTGTTTAATTAGGGTTTGTACTGCTTACTTTTACTAGTATTAATTTATCCCCACAAATTTTCTATTAATTGTGGCTGGAATTTGAGTGTATAGACTATGGAACTGTTATTGCTGCATCCATCATGATATTCAATTATTTGTTTTACCGAATACGGTCTATACGTAGTACTCGTATAACCTATGCTACTGAATAAAAAAATTTGTTTTGATGAACTGAACTTATTTTGGTGAAAATTCTTCGTGTTGTGGACTGATTTTGATGATTCAATCTCAAGCCATGCAAAGTTTTAAAACGGAGTTGTCACAATATTTATTTAAGCATGTAACAACTTGTTATTCAAAAAAAAAAGTATGTAACAACGTGACCATTATTTGGCTTCACATGAATTATTGGATTCTTTTTCTCAATGGGATTGGTATCAAATATTCTTTCACTTTGTCTTTGAGTTTGGATTAACAAATGTTACAACCGAAATATATTCTCGAACGAGGCGACGAATGAGTTTACCCAATCTTATTTTCTTTTCACATAGGAAGAAGCATCTTTTCAGGATGTTTTTTGTTAGCTTTCAAACACTTAAGTGTAGTTTTTTTCTATGAAATTAACAAATGTTCATAATAGAGTCTCCGCCAAAATTAATAATTTACAGTAGTAGATTTTAATAGTTGTCGCTATGTACAAGTTTTATATCACGTGTATGTTACAACCCTTACAGGTTACAACAGGTCCAAAATGAGGTCCATTTTTCTCTAAAGGATCCAAACCTAACCTGGATCCATCGAATCCAAATTATGTCATCTCTAAGCATGAGTCTTCACATTCTCAACGCTATGTTCAACCAGAAAGGAGATGTGGATGAGGTACAAAATTGGACGTGAAAGTTTCATCTCATCAAGCTCCTTGTGTAACCTATTTTTGTTCTTTATTATGTTATATGCTCAATTCAACTAAAAAGTTTAAGCTAAGTTAAAGAACTGATTCAATCAAAAGATTAATTGTACGGCTATACTTGTTTGTTAAACATTATTTTATTTAATACGGAGTACTTTGTATTTAAAACAAACGTTACAAGAAATAAAAATATAAAGTGCAATAACTCCTAGAATTTGGCTAGGAAGGAAACGTGTAATTATGATCTTGCTAACAAGCGTCCTAGGGCGTTAACTAAGAGAAGAATATATTACTTAAAACAATATTAAGTTCGTAATGCATGACAAAATTACGTGTCGATCGGTGTAACTAATATCAATTTTACTATGATATTTTCTCATTTAGTTTACTTATCTAACTCCCGGGGCGCTCGTTAGCTTTGGTCAATTATTAATTAAGTGAATGTATTATTGTTGTTAAATCCCGAAGGAGAGTGGTCGTAGTAGCAGATGTAGAAGCATTCACAAATATGTACATCGTCAGTTTTGCATTTTCCCCAAGCATGCGAACTTTCTTTGTGGTTTTTTCCACAGTAAATATCACAAGGCACCTTTGAACATTTGAAGGGTAACGCTGCCACCTTCTCATCCTTGCATATTTTCGTCCATTTGTAACACTCACCTGTTATATACAGATAAACATTCCAACATCAATTAATTAGTTGATTTTATTATAACTTATATTATATGATCAGAGGAGGACCTTCCACTGGGGTCATTTGGAGCCCGGCCCTTGGTAAAATAATATTTTAAAATAACCTTGTATTACTTATAAAATATTGGAACATAATGACTAGTTTAAAGTGAGAGGCAAAAAATTCAAATCCCCCCTTTAATATTTATGATCAAGATCTGTCACTGTATATGATCTATATGCTTATGACTACAATGGTATATCTGTATATTTTTTTTAATATTATAATTATTTTGTAAGGTAATAAAAATATTATTAGGAAGCCCTCTTCATAAGGGGAATTCCTAACCTAATAGTATATCCGTTATCTGAATATACGTGTCAGATTATTGCAATAAAAAACAAAGAAGTGAGATTTGCATATTTTTGTTTCGTATGTTGGGAGCATATTACTACCATAAACAAAGAAATTATTATTTTACTCAGAATTTGTATTTATTTACCTGTTTGGAAGAAAATCAGAAATGCCACAAGAATTAATATTGCAATGAATGGCTTCATCTTTATGTACAGATAACCTGTATAGTATATGCTTTGTAATTTATAATCAATTAACAATAATAATATTTTAAGAAATGAATTAGAAAGGAAAAACAGTAAACTTTAACATGGAATATGAAGCTAAACTCTTTGAGGATTTTGTAAAAGGTATTTTGGAGATATGTTTGTGAGAAAATTGGTAGACCAAAGTCTTATTAGTGTAATGGAGTCATGTATGTTTTTATAGGAAAACATTAACACTTAAGGGTTGTTTGGTTGCGATTTTGTGAATAAGAAAAAAATTATAACGAAAAAAAAGGTTTGGGAAATGCTGACTAATATAAGAATTTAAAACTTTTATTTGATAATAAATGAGGATTAACTGTTACATAGCTTTGTTTGGTATGAGATGAAACTATATCTTGAATACTTAATACATGGACTAAACTACCAATATTACCCCTTATTTTCATTAAGACAAAAAAGTATTTTTCCTCCTACTTTTAGTGGTTATTACTTACAACATAAATACACTTATTAATTATCATGATGTTACAATTTCAAGCTACAATAACGTTCTTAATTCTTATTAATTATTCTCATGGGCCACAATTTTGTTAGGACATTAATTCTAGAGAGGCGGTATAAATTTCGATTAAGCTCCACTTGAACTCGAGATCATTATTTTTCTTATCAACCTAGCTCAAATAAAGTAATTAACTCGGCTCATTGACAATTGACATCCTTAGTGGAGTATAGCATTGTAGCAACATGTTAATTGTGCTTGACCTATAACATGTCACCACGTAAGCCACCTACACCATAATGTCTCTTAAATAAGTTGAGGATGTAAATTCTTTTACCTCCTACTACGTCAAAGTTCTACAGAATATTACTTGTTACCTTGATCAATCATGTCAAACAACTCCGTAGTCAAGATTTCAACCAATTCAACTTAAGGTCTCCTTAGTTCAGCATAATTCACTTCAGTTTAATTCAACTCCAATCACTTCAATTTAGTTCAATTTTTAATTTCCTTCTCTAATAAACAATTTTTTTTTGGGAAATTCTCTTTGGTGAACTCCAACTTTTTCATTTTCTAAGTGGTAAATGTTCTTAAATTTTATTATCAATGGTAAACTTAAATTATTGATTACCATTGATAAGTGTTATTTTAATAAAAACTCTTAACTATAGTTAGTTTTTTATTTTTTTAATAATTAAATTATTTTCAAAATATTTTTCAGAAAAAAAACCTAAACCCCTCCCCCACCCAACCTAGCCACCGATAACCCTTCCTTGCCGGTGTCCATGCCTCTGCCGGAGATGCCCGATCTCCCCCATCGTCGTCGACGCCCAGCCACCCCCGCCCTACCTTCTCTCTTTCCCCCATCCCGATATCTCCCAAACCCAGATCCCGGCACCCCAACCACCGACCCCCTACCCGATTTCAGCCACCATCTTCATTCCCTTCCCCAATTCCGACCACCAACTCCTTTCCCCCTACCCGATTTTTGCTCTAAATGGAGGATTTATGCTCGAATTTGCTCAATTTTTCTGGGTTGGTGTGGGTTCGAATTTCTTAGGGTTTTTTTTTTGTGTTTTGCTCGAAATTGGGGGATTGTAGCTCTGAATTTTTTCCGATTATGGGTGATGATTTGATTGCTATTTTGTTGTTGAGTTTGATGGGACTTTAGGGTCGAATTTGCTCGGATAATCGGCGATTTGGTTGTTAAATTTGTGGGGGTTTGTTGGTTGAAATTATGAGGGTTTTAGGTCGAATTTCTGGGTGATTTTTGGTCGAATTTCTGCCGGCGGTGGTGGGGGAAAGGGGAAAGAGAGGAGGTGCGAGAGGTGAGGGAGGCCGGGCATCGCTGGTCGGAGGTGGGGAGGCCAGGCGTTCCTGCTGGGGGTTGGCCGCCGGTAGTGGTGCTGGTGGCTAGGTGAAGGGTTTGTTTGTTTTTTTTTTTATTTATTTATTTATTTATTTTTATAAAAAATATTTTTAAAGTATGTAAAAAAAAACCTAACTAACTATGGTTAAATATGTAGTTAAATTTAATCATTAATGTTATATTTGATTAAGTATAAAAATTTAGGTTTATCATTGATAATAAAAATTAAAATTGTTTACCACTTAAAAAATTAAAAAGTTGAAGTTCACTTTCCCATTTTTTTTTTTTTAGGGAATTCTCTAATAAACAATTCATTTCACCTCAATTTAGTTAAGTTCAATCAAGTCTAGTTGTTTTTAGTAAATCGGAACAACTTTATTACCTTTAAAAAAAAATCAAAAAGTTTTATCAAAATTCATCAAAATTTTACTGCTAGTGTCATTCTATTCTATCTATCCAATGTTCCATAATACAACTCCACACTATCCCATATATCTCCTCTTTCCCTCCATTAAACCCCTAAATTTCTCAAACCCCTTAATTGAAAATGGCAACAAATGCAGCAATTGGGATTCTTCAAAACCCTATCAATACAAATTATTTTACCCATTTATCCATTTCTTCTTCACCCTTCTCTCCAATTTCATCACACCCATTTGTAGCATTTCAGAAATCTTACATCAAATACAAACCCAACCTCAAAATTACCTGTAATTCATCCAGACCCCACAAAAGATCTGTTTCTAAAGGTGCAAATTCCGAGGCATATGAACTTGTTCGTGGGATTTTGAGGAATTTTAGTGATAAAGAACCCATAGTATCAACATTGAACAAATATGTCAAGTTTTTGAGGACGGAGCATTGTTTTATGCTGTTTGAAGAACTGGGTAAAAGTGATAAGTGGCTTCAATGTCTCGAGGTTAGGATTTCTGGGTTTTTGTTTGTTTAATTTATTTGAATTTTCTCTGATTTTATTGTAGGTATTGTTATAGAAATATAAGAATTTGGGAAATTTGGTTTTTTGTTGATTGCATTGAAGATAAAGAATACTTTGTTTCTAATGTGTTATTTCATTAATATCTGTCTCACTTTAATTTGCCACATTGCTCGAAATCCAATGAGAACAATCACCTTATTAGTCATCATAAGACGGGATAAACTTCTTAAAATTGATGTAGGCGTAATTTGGGAAAGGCTGTATTATGATGAACATGAAAAGAGTTCTTATGTTGTGGCATTGCGGAAAAGATATGTGGCCTAATAAAGTGGAATGGTCGGATTGGTATTTGTTTTATGGATACTGTTGTTATAGACTTACAGTTGCTAATGATACTATTGTACAACGTCTACAACAGTTTGATGATTAGTTTTGATGGATAAATTGTTTTGAAAGTATTGAATATGAAAAGGAGTAATTTAAGCTCCTAATTTGCTCGAAGTATTTGCTGTTGTCTTCTGTGTCCAATTTTGTGATCATGGCTGCTATGTCTTTGAGGTGTGAAAGAAAAATTTAGCGAGAGGCTGTTATATACACCCGGGTGTACTATACACCCGGGTGTACTATACACCCATGAATATTTGTTCTCATTTGATGATTGTTTTTCATTTTATCATCAAATGAAGAGCAAAAACTAACTTTAGGTTAGTTGGGTGTACGGTATGTCGGTATACCGGGGTGTATATAACAAATTTTAAGATTTAGCTGCCAGGGTTTAGGAACATTACATAGGTCCAAAAGGCTATATTTTCCTTTTTGAAGAATTTTTTGGCTTCTAAGATTGTTGAATTCATACTAAGCTTTGGATTGTCAATGCACATTCATTAAGCTTGTTAATAATAGTGTTTTGGATTGATATTCAGGTCTTTAGATGGATGCAGAAACAAAGATGGTATGTTGCAGACAACGGTGTATATTCGAAACTGATTTCAGTTATGGGAAGGAAAGGTCAAACTAGGATGGCAATGTGGCTTTTCTCAGAGATGCGTAATAGTGGGTGTCGGCCTGACACATCTGTTTACAATGCGCTCATAACAGCACATCTGCATTCTCGTGACAAGTCTAAGGCCTTGGAAAAAGCTCTTGGATATTTCAATAAGATGAAGGGGATGGAGCGCTGTCAGCCAAGTATTGTGACGTACAATATTCTTTTAAGAGCATTTGCACAAGCACGGAATGTTAATCAAGTTAATACACTGTTTAAGGATCTTGAAGAGAGCTTAGTTTCACCTGATGTCTTTACATTCAATGGTGTGATGGATGCATTTGGGAAAAATGGGATGATCAGAGAAATGGAAGCTGTATTGTCTCGAATGAAAATCAATCACTGTAAGCCTGATATAATCACATTTAATCTGCTGATTGATGCCTATGGAAAGAGACAAGAATTTGAGAAGATGGAGCAAGTTTTCAAGAGCTTGTTACGTTCTAAGGAGAAGCCAACTCTTCCCACATTTAATTCAATGATTGTCAACTATGGAAAGGCACGACTTCGGGAGAAAGCAGAGAATGTTTTTCTGAATATAACCAATATGGGATACACCCCTAATTATATTACATATGAGAGTGTCATCATGATGTATGGATTATGTGACTCTGTTTCAAAAGCAAGGGAAACATTTGATGGGATTAGTGCATCTAAAAAGGAGTTGAAGGTGTCAACATTAAATGCTATGTTGGATGTTTACTGCTTAAATAACTTACCAATGGAAGCAGACATGCTTTTGGATAGTGCACGAGATTATGGCGTCCACCCAAATTCTTCAACTTATAAGCTTCTTTACAAAGCCTACACGAAGGCAAACATGAAAGATCTTTTACAGAAGTTATTGAAGTGTATGGACCAAGATGGTATTGTCCCTAATAAGAGGTTTTTCTTGGAAGCTTTAGGAGCATTTGGGTCATCAACAACTACTAAAAAATCTGCTTCTAGAAATGCAGATAAGAGTAGAAATACAGATAGTAGAAACACAGATAAGAGTACAAATACAGATACGACACATACGAGTACAAATACAGATACAAGTTTCCAACAGGCAGCTGGAAAAACATAATTGTCAAATTGTGTATCATTCTATGAGACTTCAGTCATCTGCTCTATAGGCTCCAATGAATTCTGCCTATTCATTTAATGTTGAAAAGACCACTTGAATTTTAAAGGTCTAAAGTGAGTCTTGGTACAGAACAGCTATCAGCCTATCATGCCAACAACAATATTTTCCCTTCGATTTAGGGGTATGTATATTTCCTTGATCTATTATCTTCTATCGCTTCAAGCTAGCATTTTTGTTTTTGGAAAGCTGGCTACGTGTCTATGTGTATCAGTGTCGGTGTATTATTTACAGTTTTTTTAGTAAAATTGTTTCTCTGTTTCAATAGAAAGTACTGGTTCATCAAAGTGTCTTTTGTGAGATTATGCCCTGCCACTTGTGTAGTAATACGGGTAGTACTGAATTGCCAAATTAATTTACAATGAACATCAGATTATAGTGTTTCACAAGTTCTCACAGGTTATCAAAATTTACTGTTAGTGATGTTCAGAATAAAAAAAATCATCTTCTATATCTCAACTAGAAACAACAGATAGTCAGATACTATCATTATGTAATATTGATGGAATATAAGCATCCCTGGCCTATAATCTTACATACTCAAATATTAACATCTTTGTCTTCTGTAGTTAATGTATTAGTTCATTCCTTCATATATTCAATTTGTCTCCTTCAAGATCCAGCTTTATGAACAAAAAGGTCTGCCTAGGCCTTGTGTAGTTTTGAGTCATACATACCTCTCTTAAAGATGAAATACTTTGAGCTTGATGTTTTGCAACCAAAGCTTCTCATTTTGATTACGTCTCATTGGATCTCTCCAAAGTCTGGACTCTCCCCATAATTCTATATAAAAAAAGTCTGGCTGAAAACTACGGATTACCCATATATGTAAATTTTTGAACCCATGCCTTGTTATTTATAATACTTGTTGGCTTGTTGCTAAATTTCAAAACTGTGATGTGTCCCTAAATGATTAACTACATATTGGGATTCTTTTCATAAAGGTTTACAATATTGAGTAAACAAAACAAGGAAGTGTAGATTGGTAAACATTAGATTCCTGTGTCAAATTGTCCGATTTTCCATGTCTGTTAGGAGTTGAGACTAGGGATATCACTGATATCCAGAAATAGGGAGCATTTTTAAAGAAATGCAAGCATTTTCTTTTACTAGGAGCTATCTGCAGAATTTATGAGACTATGATCTTAGGAAACCACTTGTTAACAAGTTACAATCTAATTAAGGAAAAAAAAAAAAGACTTATGATTTTGCTGCTGCAAATTTTAGCTGGCTTGTATCAGTAACTGCCTACTCTAGTCACAAATCTGAATGTAACTTTCTTGTTATCTGTTTTGTTCATCTTGAGTCTTGGTATTGTGAGTCTAGTATCTAGCACTGTAGAATTGCTATCACTACATTGTGTACAAGTTTTGCTTTTGTTCTAAGAATGTTGGACTGTCTTTGCACTTGCTTCATCCTTTTTGACCTCTTTCCTATTCTTCATCTTATTTACTTTTCATTTTTAACCTTGGTTCTAGGTCATTTGTCTCTCTCATCTATTTGGAAAAGAATCTTGACTAGAATGGCTTGTGTTTCAGTTTTCATTTGAGAGGGGTGTTAAACCTATGATGTAAGGGTCCAAGCTTTGTTTAGACATCAATACGAAGTCGAATTATGTTCATAGTTTGCTTGTATCCAGAGTGCAAGATTTACACGTATGGTTGAAGGAATGAAAAGCAGATGTTTTTAGCTGGTCAATGCTACCTGGTTTCCGTATGTTGCAGGCTGAATACTACAGATAGCACCCAGGACATTGAAGTTTAGATTTTGTTTTCTCAGGTTAAAAGAACGAAGCCTAAGCTGCCATGTTATGTCATAGGCTGGTTGCCAAAACTTAGCATGATGATGATACATTGACATACCAGAAGCTTTGAGCTGTGATTGGTGAGGGTTCATTTTTCCTTTTGTATCTTAGTTTCATACCAATTAGACAAGTGGATAAGTGATGCGAATTGTTTTTATATCTACAACCAATTTTTCATGTTGATCATAGACTTTTTCATTCTCTTGACCTTGTATAGAAACCTTTTCCGTTATGTTGCTTTATTTATCTGCCTTATCATTTAATGTTTCGTCAATTAACCTATATGTAAAAATACGTCTGGTAGGTCTCATTTGGTGTTTCCATGGATGTTCTACTATGGAGTTTTGAAAGTTATGTCCCAGGGAGAATGAACAGCATTTCATGTTTATGGAGTGGCTGAGCCGCTGAGCTTTGGATTTTGGGCTTTGCCCAAGGCAGAAGTTTGTCTTGGAGGATTAAGGATCTTCCTGATTAGCATCTGATTAAGGAATAGTTATAACTTCATCATTCTTGTATAATTCAATATTTTAATCATTACGAGATAGAAATAGACAACTTTGTAAACAGGTTCTTTATATTTTGATCTGGGTTATTGTCTATTGAATGTTATTGTAATGTGCTTGTCTCATTTTTCCTTGGCCAATGTTATACCATTTATTGCAGTGTTGCCTCAGTTCACAGGAGGATTGGGAGCTTCATGTTGGAACAGTCATAATGATGCTTAGTCTAAGTTCAAAGGGTGAAGGGTGCCAGGTTAGAGCTTTTTCTTACTCCTACCAATGACACTATTAATTTATTTATTTATTTATTTATTTATTTTAAGAAAGAAAAAGAAAAGAAAAGGGCAGATTTTAGATAATCAAAATAAACCATTCACATAAGTCAGTGTCTTCCCGCGCTACCTAGCAGGCTAGCTAAACCTATACCCTAGATGGGTTGATACTAGTTATTCAACCAATCATAATACACATGAATTCATGGTCAAGAGCTCAAATTACTCAAAATATGTAGCTTATTATAGTAATTTTATTGTAGGAAAAGTTTCATGCCATTCTAAGCACTTTTTTTCTGTGTAAAGCTGAATTCTGCTGTCTCTCATCTGTCTTTAGAGGTGGTTTTTAGTTATAATGGGAATTTAAGAAAAGAATATACATATAGATCTAAATAAACTATCGACACTTCATATTAGTATCAGTCTTTCCTTGCAAAATCAAATATGAACGCAACATTAAATATGAGTATGAATAAATATGATTATACAAACTCATTACCATCAATCCATCATCGTTATTAGTTGGAAATTGTCTACCAAATGAACCATGTAGAGCCAAAAACATGTCATATGGATTATAACGCTATCTTCCAAGACCAAATGTTAGTCAACTACTGGTACAGTTGTACAAGTAAACTATTAAGTATAATCAAGATTCTTATAGTCAAATAGGATTATAATATTAATTAGAAGCTCCAATTTGAAGAGTTTTTCACACATGCAATCTGTGGGTCAAATGCTGTTTTTTATAATTTAAGGAGAAAGATAATTGTCGGAAAGCTAACAACTCCCTCCATTAAGGCTCCCACAAATTACTCATAAAGAGAGCATTAAAGAAAACACTAATAAAGGTCTTAGAGGAGGAATATTATAAACCAAAGGCAAGTTCAATTCTTTTTGGAAAAGAATGAGGATCAGTTTAAAGGTGATGAAGAACATAAGTGTAAATACAATAGGGCATATTAAGCAGCGCAACTCTCTTGCAGTTTATGCAACGAATTCATTACGGGGAACCTTTGATAGCTACCGCGCATCAATCAACAATGTCAACGGCTCCGATGACCCTCTTAGCGCCTCCCACCCAGAATTGACCATTTTTCATCATCATGTAAGTCTGTCCTTACCTGTTCTCTTTCTTTCTTTTTTTCTCCTACTGTGGCTATTGTTATTTTTAACTGTGTTTAACGAACTTCTAAGTATGTGTGATGATTGCTGAAACGACCTTTATTTTGAAGTAGAGTGTGATGATATAATTGTTTAATTGAACAGGTTGAGTTCTATGGGGAGAAAACGATTAAGAGTACGCGGAAACTCACAGTGAGGAAACCCCCAAAGCCAGTAACCAACAAAGGGAAACCTGGCCAACATCATTAGTCATTAGTGTGCTCCTTGATACTTGTTGAATTTCGTCTTGAGACTGTCCCAACTTTGAGGTGTGTTTTCCTTTCCAAAGAAAAAAAAACCTGTTGATTCGAGAAGGATTTGTAATATTAGAGAAACCCTTTTTAAGACTGCATCAACTTTGTATATCTAAGTTTTGAATTGTTATTGCTTGTTTCATATTAATGCATATGAAGATAACAATGCTTAACTTTGGATCCATCAGATCAGAGTTCATACTCTTAACAGTTACCACTAGTCCACAAGGGAAATATAAGAATGGTGGAGATAATACCAAGCTAAGATAAATTATGTTATTAAATTTAGTATTGTTTATTTGCATATATATTAATTGATTAACTGTTACTACCACCACTGAATGTTGGCCATTTCTCCTAACAAATCCTTCCGGAATCAACTTCATATAGTACACAAACTTTTACAAAAATCGGGTGTATAATAGTTATTGTACATCCATTATAAAGATAGCTTAAAGTGATCAAAAGTTACCTCTAAAGTAAATAAAAGTTACCCCAATATGCATAAAAGTACCCCAATATGCATAAAAATTATCCATACTTTATTAGTAAAGAACCACATTTTAAATGACCAAAAATCAATTATTAGTGATTGAATGTAATTAAATTACTTTTATAAAACTTTTCTTGTTGTCTATTTACATAAAAATTGTATTATATTTAAAGTTACCCCTAAAAAGGCAAAAAAATACTCAAAAATAAGCTAAATGTTACCCTTATACTGCCCGATGTACACCAATATTAGTGTAAACCAGATGTATACAAAAATATTCCCATATAGTATTGTACAAAATATTTATACAATTACAATAGGATCGAATTTAATAGGAGTAGACCTATGATAGAAACATATATTTTGCTTCAAACCATTAATTCATACTTTCTTTATTTCTAATTAGCTGCAATAGCTCTATTTTAAAGGCTACACTTAACAAAATTTGGCAATCCAAAAATATATAAAATGATGTGATATCTTGTTAAATTATATTCTAAAATATCAACTAGTCACAATTAACTATTTAGTAAAATGTAATTGATGATGTTAGTGATGATCAAAGTAGTAGATGAAATTAAAAAAACAATGTCACTAATTTTGAAACAGATACAATATATTGTTATATATACCAATAATCCACAACTTTAATTATACGTGTGGAATTATTCCACAGCATTATCATCATCATTATCATCATATGATCAATTAGTCACACCAAATACAATACAATACCAAGTACTGGTTTTTTTTACATAAAAAAAATATATAAAAAGACAACAACTACATAAAGACATTTTTGTCAAGCTGTGCATAGATAGTGAACTAAACTGGAGTATTATTTTTTTTATCAAGATCAAATAATACCGCGCACTACTTCTTTGTGTATTTTCTAGTTACTTTCTTCATAATATGCATTTTAAAAAAGTTTCTATTTTAAAAAAAGAATACAATAATAATATATCGCATGTGAAGCATGAAATAAATTAATAAACCACTGATTATTATTGTTTGGGTCCAATTAATCTATTGGGCCTAGTCGTTAAATGATTCAATATTCCAAGGTCAAGGCCCAAGCCTCCAATCAAGCCAAGTCAACTATGTGTCAATTGGTCCAAATTGTCATGGTCAGCCCATGACTCAATCCGGCCCAATCAATCTCCTCCTTTTGTCATGCCAAGGTATAAAAGCCTTCAATTCATTCACTTATGCAATACACACAAAACCTCAAGCATAAAATCTCTTGCATAGCTTTCTCTCTAAATACACTGTTTGACTTCGGCATCGGAGGGGTCTTCCTCGGATCCACCCCCGAGGCCAGTTTACGTGTGTTCTGCTGTGCAAGAAACCTTCGGCCCAGCATCTATTGGACCGGACAAGTCTTCATCCACTTCATTGGACCTTCGGCAAGGTCCCATTGTTTTCATCCGAAACAATTTGGCGCCGTCTGTGGGGAAGACTTTCAAAAATCTTTAAGCCAATCAAAATCATCTTGCAATCATCTTAGTAGCAATGGCTAAGAACCGCAAGAATAAAAGCATACGACAAGGAGCGGGCGAAAGGCCTAAAACTCCTACTCCATCACCTTCGCCGAACCGGAACTCTTCCAAGGGTACCAGTTCGGAGGGAGGATCATACCGGGAGGATTCCCTTTCTCCCGTAATTCACAACTCTCATCATAGACTGAGTCCCCCTCGGTCTAACAGAGGTCAGTCCGATCATAGGACTCAATCAATGCCCCAAAGCCAACATTTGACCATTCACTCTCACACTCAGCCGAGGACCCCTTTGACGGGGCCCAGCTCGGAGGAAGTGGCGAGAGCGCTGGCGGTGCTCATGGAGGCAATGAGAGCACAAAATATGCCTCCACCTCGTGATCAAACTCCTCCGCATACCAGGCATCAGCGGAGGAAGCTAGACCGTGATGGGGGGAAACCTCCCTCCTTCCGGGAGCTGGAAGAGTGGGAAGAGGATACTTGGAGAACTGAAAGAGAGAGGAAAAAGAACCCTCAATTTTTCAAAGGATCCTCAACCTCTCGGCCAGAAACGCGTAAGAGCAGCAGCTCAGCCTCTCGGCCGGAATCTGCCCACCGAGAACGACCTGAGACTGCTCGCCGAAGCGTACTCGACCGACTCGGCGGCAGGGAGCCGAGCGTGCACAGTCGCCTCTCGTTCCCTGTAGCCGAGGCCCAAACTTCCCAGCCAGGGACGAAAACCACTCCTACCTCTCTAAGAGGGCAGAGCGCGGTCCCTTCGGCCAGAAACAAAGGCAAGGTCGTTATGCTACCCACCAGTTCCCCATTCGAGCAATGGATTCTGGAAGAGCATGTGCCTACGGTTAAAATACCGTTGCACATTACATATGATGGGACTTCAGATCCGAAGGACCATATCGCCTTCTACGAGGGGCACATGCATCTCTGCCCAAGGTCCGAAGCGACCTGGTGCAAATATTTTCCCACCACTCTCAAGGGGGTCGCGCAAGCGTGGATCTCCAAGGGAGTAAAGGAAGGCTCTATAACGGGGTGGTCCGGAAGGGATACTTGAAAAAATACATCGCGGATCACCGTGAGAAAAAAGAGGCCGAGAAGTCTGAAAAAGACACTCGGCAAGACCTTGACTTCCCCCGGAAGAACAGTAAAAATGCGGAGGGAAAATTCCCTCCAATCAATGTTATCTCGGGAGGAGTATGTTCTCGGAGGGAACACAAGCGGCACCTTAGGGCTCTGACCCACCAGGTGAACAACGCTAGCATACAGCCTCCTCAGTCGCCGGTGCCGAACATGACGTTCACAGCCGCCGACTGCCGGGGGGTAACGTTCCCTCATGAGGACCCGTTGGTGATCATCGCCACGGTGGCCAACCACGACGTCAGCAAAGTTCTAATTGACGGTGGTAGCGGAGCAAATATTTTGTTCCGAAAGGCCTATAATCAAATCAAGCTGAAGCCTAAGCACCTCACGTCGGTATCCTACCCAGTATCCGGATTCAATGGGGCTTCAACTTATCCTGATGGGAAGGTTCTGCTGCCTGTCACCATCGGCTGCGACGAAGCAGCTAGGAACGTCATGACTGAATTTTTGGTCATCGATGCTCCTTCAGTGTACAACGTGATCTTGGGGAGACCCATAATTCACGAGATCCAAGGGGTCGTCTCAACATATCATCAGCTGATGATCTACGTTTCAGACGTCGGCTTCCCCGAAAGGATCCAGGGCAGCCAAAAGGAGGCCCGAAGGTGCAACTACCTCAAGCCATCCACTAGTCGCCCAGATGACGACGATGAGGATGAGGAGGAGAAAGAAAAAGAAAGAGAGCCGAGTACAAAAAAGCCGAAAGGTTTAAGCGCTTCGGCCCAAGGTTCTGTGCCTAGAGAAAAAGGGCCAGAAAAAGAAAGGGCTAGCTCTTCATCTGAGCCGAAAGACTCAGGGGGCCAGCCGAAGAAGAAAAAGTCTGGGACGCCTGCTGACATAGACAACAGGCCAGATTGTGAAGAGTCCAACCCATCAACAATGGACCTGGACCAGCAGACTGAAACGGTTGAGTTGACCGAAGGAGACGCTGAGAAATGTGTAACAATCGGGATGGACCTTGATCCGAGCACCCGTTGTGAACTTATTCAACTCCTTCGGGACAACAGAGATGTGTTTGCTTTCTCGGCAGCTGACATGCCTGGGATAAGTCCAGACCTCATCTCCCATAAGCTTAACGTCGACCCAACGTGTCGGCCAGTTAAGCAAAAGAAGCGGAATTATTCCGCAAATAAGAACCGAGACATCGCAGCCGAGGTCAAAAAGCTGCTGGATGCAGGCTTCATCGAGCCTTGCCAATATCCAGAATGGCTGGCAAATGTGGTGATGGTTCAGAAGGCCAATGGTACCTGGAGAATGTGCGTTGACTTCACGGACCTAAATAAGGCTTGTCCGAAGGATTTCTATCCCTTGCCGAGGATCGATCATCTAGTCGACTCGACAAGTGGCCATGCCTTGCTTAGTTTCATGGACGCATTCTCGGGGTATCATCAGATCTTCATGCACCCCGACGACCGAGCAAAGATGGCATTCGTCACGAACGCCGGGGTGTACAATTATAAAATGATGCCCTTCGGATTGAAAAATGCGGGGGCAACTTATCAAAGGCTGGTGGATCAAGTTTTTGCCGATCAAAAAGGCCGAAACATGGAAGTTTATGTTGACGATTCAATCGTCAAAAGCAAAAAATCTGAAGACCATGTTAAGGACCTGGCCGAAACCTTCGCCACCTTAAGAAAACACCAAATGAAGCTGAATCCGAAGAAGTGTGTCTTCGGCGTGAAGTCAGGGAAATTCCTTGGGTTCATGGTCAGCAAGAGGGGGATTGATGCCAATCCCTCCAAAGTCAAAGCAGCGCTCGATCTTCCTGAGCCGAAAACAAAGAGGGATGTTCAGCGGCTCACCGGAAGAATGGCAGCCCTTTCGAGGTTCATTTCCAGAGCTTCGGACAAGGGGTTACCTTTCTTCAAAGTCCTGAAACTCCCAAAAACAAAAGAGCTCGTTTGGGAAGCAGAGCAAAAAGAAGCCTTCAAGCAGCTTCGAGAGCATCTGGCTCAACTCCCAACACTGGCTAGCCCAGAAGAGGGAGAAACTTTGTATCTATACGTGGCTGTCAGCCCAGCCACCATCAGTGCAGTGCTGCTGAGGGAATAAAATAAAATTCAGCAACCGATCTACTTCGTCAGTCACACTCTAACGGATGTCGAGACTCGCTACCCTCTACTCGAGAAAGTCGCCTTTGCAGTAGTGGTAGCTGCTC